TATCATTACCCAGTTCTTCCCAACCCTCCTGCTGTGGGCGTTCTCAGTGCTCCTGCCCTTTATCGTCTACTACTCGGCCTTCTTTGAGTCCCACTGGACCAGGTACTCACTAGCCATCACTGCACTCCTCTGAAATGGAAATGCATGTCCTTTGCTTCTTCAAAAGGACCCTTCATGTCTTCCTCTCAACCTTCAGTGTTTCTTCTCTCCTTCTCTCTGTTACTCTCCCCTGCACTGTTATTCTGGGCAGGTTGTCAAAGAGATGTGAGGATAATGATATGATCAAAAATTGTTGCAGGGTTTGAGCTCTTAATTCTATGATGTCAGGTGCATGTAGCCACCTACTTATGTGGGACATGTTGTTCTGACATATCCCAGATATAGAAAAAAGTGCCTGCACACTGACAAAGCAGCAAAGAGGCTCTCTCGATGCCTGAAGAGTACATTTATTAAAAGTTTTTAAAGTGTTAAAAGTAAAAAACTGAAAAAATGTCAATAAAAATGTGAACATTTTAGTCAAAAGTCCATCTACAGCACAGCTGTAATTCTACAGAAATAGGCAATCGGCTATCGGACAGGAGGAGCCAGGATCACCAGGTGTTCCACATGAAAACATAATATATACATATTATGCATACACGTACACCTGTACAACAAATCAAAGATAAACAGCAATGCCAGCCACTGTCAGGATGACAATAAGCTGCTACAGGGAACAAGTTAAGGATAATTCTTCACTAACCTTCTGGATGTGGTGCTCTCATGTAAAAAATAAATAAATAAAAATGAAGATGTCTAGCAACAGATGACTTTGAGTCATTTCTCCATATGGCACCTTTGTGCATGTTTTAGCAGCTCTGCATGTTTTCACAACATATGGAAGCCCACATGAGCGTGAAAGTTTCACTTTTAACTTGTAATAAATTTACTTTTTTGGCATCTGAAGAGACTCTTTGCTGCTTTGTAAGTGAATAGAATAGAAAGTCTTTACTGTCATTACAATAAATGCAACAAAAATTAGGAGTGCTACCCCACATTGATGCTTACAAGATAAAAACACATACATCTTTTCTGACAAGTAATGAAAAAAATAAGAGTAGAAAGTATAGAATGCTTCAGTAGTTAATTACACAGTGTTATTGCACGTTTTGAATTCACAGGACAGTTTGAGGGCACCTTTTCCATACGTGGGACAGGATAATGATATGCACATTATTCACCATGTGCAGAAGAGTACCACATAGTGACTACCAGCAGGAGGAACAGAACAGCTTAATGCAGGAGCTATATGAGCTGCACGTTGTGCAGGCAAACAAACACCTGAATGCTAATCAGCTGTTTACTGGAGTGAAAAGTGTACATGTAGATTGTGCTATTGAACCCAACAGTCCCTGTAAATAATGTGTTATTTCACATTATGCAGTTACTATGTTGAAGGAAAGTGTGTAGGCATGTTTCATAACTAAATATGCATTGCATAATAATATTCTTATAATGTCTCAGATCTGGTGAGAACCAAGTAACGATGCACAAATGCTTTTTACTGCTGGTCTTCATGGTCATCATCCTGCCCTCCCTTGGTCTGTCCAGGTACACTCACAGCAGCTTTACAAATGCAGAACAGACATAACTTCTGATTTTATTCTTATTTTTATGTAATTCGTTTAACTATTTTTTTTTAGCCATGTCCTTTTTATATTTTATTAATTTGCAGCCTGGACTTGTTCTTCACCTGGCTCTTTGATGTCAACTTCCTGGAGGAGAAGAATGTCAAATTTCAGTAAGAATAGAAATAAAATGTTCCAAGAGTATGACAGCTCCTAAAAACATTTCAGTTGCAGCCTAACACTTCATTATTTTCTTGGTGCAGGTGCGTGTTTCTTCCTGACAACGGTGCATTCTTTGTAAACTATGTTATTACATCAAGCCTGATTGGTACATCCATGGAGCTGCTTCGCATCCCAGCACTGACGGTGTACGCCCTCCGCCTCTGCTTTGCAAAGTCCCAGGCTGAGCGGATTCATGTCAAACGGGTTAGCAAAGCCTTTCATGCTTATGTCGGTGTTTTCATGTGAGACCTGATTTTAAACTTCTTTTTTTTAAACTTGAGGCGTTTGTTTTCATCTGCAGAGTCAGGCCTACGAATTCCAGTTTGGGCTGGAGTATGCCTGGACCATGTGTATCTTTGCAGTCAGTATGACCTACAGCATCACATGTCCCATCATTACGCCCTTTGGTGAGCAACATAGACTTAGATTTTTCTATCCTCATCTGCAGCACCGCTTTGTTTCCCTATTTTCTCTCTCTTTCATGTGTGTGAGTGTCCTGCCTCTCCTCACACTGTAACCTCACTCTCCTCTACTGCCTGCCAGTCCAATGCAGACTGTGTGAATTTGCTGCTGCAGTCCCAGACACCCAGACACAGTGAGTTGCGAGCCAGACGCCCACTCCACTCCTGTCTCTGCCCAGAGCTCACCAAGCTATTTACTTCTGCTGTCTAATCATCAGTCCAAAGAGGCTCTTTTAAACTCGATGCCCTGCTGCTCGATATATTTCACCTGTGCTGTTTTCTGCAGATTGGTGTTTTAGTCTTGCAAATCTTTCTTTGTGGCAGACTCCGACAAATAATCTGATTGAGTTAAAACCTCATTGACTGGAACCACAAAGACCCGAGGAAAGGGGCAAAATATGAGTTTGAAAAATAAATCAAAATACTTTTTTAAGTGACATATTTTCATTCCCCCTTTAAAAAAAAATCTGGCTTGCCCTCTTTTTTCCAAAAGAATTCTGTAGCTGCTTTAGATATTTAAGTGCTAAACCCTTTAAGGTGCCCAGTTTTTTTTTTGCAGCTATACAACACCTGAAGTTGTTGTTCTTGCCTGAACGTGATGCCTTCTGTGATGGATTTCATCTCTCTTTTGTACTTACACCATAGTAGTAATCAGTTGTGCACTGTATGTGTGTTTTATTGTGCCCCTCCAGGCCTGCTCTACATAATCCTGAAGCACTTGGTTGACCGATACAACATCTACTATGCATATGTTCCCACCAAACTCAACCAGCAAATCCACAGAGTAGCCATCAGTCAGGTCATCGTGGCTCCCATCCTCTGCATATTCTGGCTGCTTTTCTTCTCCGTGCTCAGATTAGGTACTTTATCGCTGCATTTCTCTCCTGTTACAGGTTCTTTAGCTGTTTTGTATTATGAGTGCAAGGTGATGTTGTAAATTTGTTGTACTCTGTCCTTATTACTAAAGGTCCAGTGCACCCCATCACCTTTTTCACCCTAGTATCCCTGCTTTCCTGCATTGCCGTTTCACTCTGCCGCTTGTGCCTTAGGAAGCAACCAGACAAGTCAGCAAGCTACCAGGTTAGCAGCTCAGCGGGATCAGGTTTAGCTAAAGAAGCACTAATACTCAATGAATATTGTTCATTTTCTTTGTTTCAGATGTCTGATCAGCCAGCAGAGGGGACATTCACTGATGCAGACCGGAGCACTGTAACATCAACCACTGCCTCCAATGTACAGTGCTGCATTTTTCTACTTTTAGCCAGTACACCATGTTTAAAACATGTTTTAAAGGTTCATATTTGTATTTGTGCATGTTTTAATCTAGTTACTAAAAATCACATAGACTTTACATGAATGCTGAACAGCTCACAAAGCATGTAATGTTATGTTTTTTATAAATTGCCACTTGAAACTTGTCACATCAGGCTCAGTTATTTATATAAAGATTACATTAAGTTCTGTTGTTGAAAGACTTTTCCAGGCTGGTGTATTTTAGTGCAGTAATAATTATGATATAACCCTAAGAATTATTCATTTGCCCTTTTCTAACGTTTGGCAAAGATATGTTGGACTGACTGTGTATAATACATGATACACCCATGAACGAGTGATTTAACATGCAACACAATAATAAACTTAATGTTGATCTGCCTCAGCTGTTTGTGGCATCCGTGCTGCTGGAGCCAGAGCTGGCTTTGACTCCGATGCCCTCCCCGGCCCACCATAGCTACGGCGCCATGACCAGCTCCCAGGGTTCAAGCCACGGCCCGGTGCGAGAAGAGGAGGATGAGGAAGACCAGGCTCAGACACATGAGACTGAGCTTCAAGACCACCCAAAATCCTTCTGCTCTAGTCCACTTATGGACAGCCCTGTGGGCTACCAGTAACACCTAACCTGCCAAGCTTATTCTGTGTGTCCTTCACCTGGAGAACACAGACTGCTTAACGTTGCACTGTTGCATTTCCACCACTGACCTCAGGCTCCAACTTGCTGCTTCAGACCCTGAGACTAGAGTGGGCTTGTTAGAAAGCATGAAGAAGCCAAAGAGGAAATGACTTTGATAATACAAAAGCAGCATCTACATATACATCACTATAAATGTATAGAGAGCAGTGTGCAAAACATCTTTTAAATATGTCTTATGGACATGAACCACAAATCACAGTGGAACTAAAGTGTAGGATACTCCATAGCAGGGGTTCCATTTTCTTCTATGGTTTCATTTGCAAGTTAAAAGGATAAAAGCTATGAAAGTGAGTGGGGTGGCAATGCCTTTGGTTATCGATCGGATCATACTCTGTCCATGCTGTGACACTTGGACATGAGTGGAAGTAAAAGTTCCCATCAGAGTGGGTGGTGTGAGCAGGCTTGCCCCGGCAGACTGACAGTGCGGTCTGGGCACGGGTGGTATGTGGTTCCCCGGCAGCAGAGCTCGGGGAGGCTGAGGGTGAGGGCATCTAGTTGTGAAGCCATCTGCAGTGAGAGCGCAGACAGATGGGAGAGCCAAATGTAACTCAGAGATGTACTGTATTATATGTACACTCTCTCCATGAAGGCACAAGCAGCTTTTCTGTACCTGAAGCTTGTTGTAACTATTATCAATTTAAGGTTGCTATTTTTGCGTGTGTGTGTGTGTGTGTGTGTCATTAATATTGTGCTTTGGGTTGAGGGCAAGGTCACTGGAACTTGGTCAAGGATTTTGCAGAGCTGTCCTATCGTAATCCGAGTATTACCTAATTGTGCTGTTTTGACTGTATATGTGATACATCCGCTTTTTTATTTATTTTAAATGAATAGTTGGACATTTTAAGAAATAGGTTTACTTTTTTGCCAAGAGTTAGAAGAAAAGATTGATATCAATCTCACATGTAGCCTATCTACTAAATATGAAGCTACCCCCAGCAGCCCGTTAGCTTAGCTTAGCTTAGCTTAGCCATATCGCTTACTAGCCCAGAAACAAGACTATTCCTTAGCTGGGTGCAGTAGCTCTGTGGATTCTTGTTGTCACCAACAGAGTTCAGGAATCTACTTTGTAGTAACCACACTAAATTAAGCTAGTTGGCTGCTGGTGGTAGCTTCATCTTTAGCAGTCATTTGACAGGCTGGTATCAATCTTTTCATCTAACTCTCAGCAAGAAATAAGTGTATTTCTCAAAATCTCAAATTATTCCTACAGGTTGTACAAATTCTGGGAAAATTAGAACTACATCCTTTAGTTATAACACTTTGAAAATTTGCCTTGGAGTAATTTCCTCTCATTTCAGAACAGCAATGGTAATCTTTAGAAGAATTTATCTATCTTGCTAATTATGTGAAATACTGAAAGTATCTACCCCCCATGTTACTAGTAAAGTTATTATATTTAGACTTTTTTTAGTTGTAAATATTCTAAAATATATATATTTTGTTACCATAATGGCTCAGATTTGTTTCAGTTTGGTGTTGGCCAAGTATTTCTATGCTAAAATGTTGGTTTTTTTATGTCATAAATACAAACTGTAAAATTAAAGCACTACTATAATATACCATCATTTAAATTGCATTAACCTGTTCTGTGTGTTGCACCTTTGCATGTTGGCCTTGTTGTATAAATCATATATGTATTTATGTCCTTAAAATCAAGTCTCACACATGCTAACCTCATTGATATACAGTCAGTTTGTATGTCGCAAGGTTTTGTATTTGGAGGTTCATTTTATTTCCCCATGGTGGGATGAAGGTTTTTCTCATGAAATAGGATGTAAACCAATTTTATTTTGTTATTCATGTCTCTTGCTGTGCCTTGAAGAAACACTCACTTTGTGTGACAATCCAGCATGGCCTGAAATATGCTGCATGAAAAGCTAAAGCGCGGAGGAAGCAACCACAAGACGAAAACACAATAACAACAAACTGAAAAACTCAACAATCCAGACTAGTGATTTTCATTTTTACTAACAGTGGCTAGTTCATCCTGTTAGTGAACAGACATGCAGTAAACTCCTTCCTCTCAGATCTTGACAAAACAGTCTTCACACAAGGTCCGCCTGCTACCTTTTCTCTGGAGCTTTCAACCATATCCCATGGTCTTCATCGGCACAGGTTTGTTCAGTTGGCATGGGAATGTTGATGTTCAAACCTTCCGCTATTCTTTACGCTTTTAAGACTTTTCACCCACATTGATGCAAAGGTTGAGCATTCTCATTCATTCTTGACCTTGTAAATAAATAGCAGCTGACAAAATGATCTCCATTCAAAGTCCACTTCATTTTTTTGGAACTTTCGAAAATGAATTATAAACCTTAAGATTAAAACCAATGTGTATGATAAATCATAAATGTGCTCAATATAGAGGGATGTTTGAACATCATTGCGTTTCTGTGACAATTCAGTACATTTATCTGCTGATGAAGATCACATGGATCTTGGGTGGAAATGATTTTGTCAAGAATGAACCGCTGAGCTCAAAGCTACGGTAACTTACTGTGTCTTTATGTCACAGCAGTGTTTTGTATCGTGGCCTTGTTGTGGATTTCAGTTAATATATTTTCAGCTCTTGTCTGCTGTGTTCTGATCATACAGATCACATAAGATGTTTGGGTGAGCTCTTTAAAGAAGATAAAAATCTTTAGACCTTGTATATAAGGTGCCCTTTTCTATGATTTTTCTTTGGGTGATTTCAAAACGTGACTAACAGCAAGTCCCTGTTGTTGATCAGTTCACATCAATATTCTCTATGAACAGCAGACAAACTTCTTGTTGTTCACTAGAGCCAATTTTGTCTTCTGTCTGTTGCAGGTTTTATAATTTTAATCATATAAAATCGTATTTGTATATGATTAAAAGTTGTGAAGTTTTTTTTACTTGTTTTCGGTTGTACTTTTACAAAGTTGATGGCATATTATTTCACAAAAATTAAATTCATTTGTTCCTTTTACAAGGAATCTAATTCAAGTTACTTGTGCTATATAAAAGAGCTGAAAGCAGAGAGGATATGAAGCAGCCAGCACAGAGAAACAGAGTAAAATGTACTTTTGGGAAAAAACATTAAAGAGCATCTCTACATGTCTGTCTCTGAACTGCCGACATGTCCTGTGGTTTTCTCTTGGAGAAGCTTGTTTCATAGACCGTAAAATGTACTTTTCTTTGAAAAAAAAATAAAATAAAAGTTATAAGGCTGTTCTTAGCTCTAACTGCAATGCAAGGACAGAGTGTCCATTTCCATGCTTAACTAGATTTATTGTATCTTGTTATGTCTGTTCATACTGTCAGCTTGACCATCCAAGGTCTTTTTGTTTGTACATCAGTTTTCCAGACATGTTGGTTTCTTTTATCTCCTGTTTATGAAATATGTGTAGCATACTGTTAGTACATTATTTCAGATTTCACCCTTCTGTAATTATGAGTTGTTATATCTGAGGCCGGGGCAGACTACTTTTGAGATTGATCTCTGTCAAGCTAATGAGTTTTCATTTTCATCTGTCAAAAGTGAAGTGCAGTGATCTGAAATTAAAATTAATTCACCTCAATCCACTCATCTGTGGCATGAGCTCCTCATAATTCTCCTCTACTGATGTCTATGATGAAGGGTTTTGGAGTGAGTCAGACTTCATGGTGATAAGTAGGAGTCTAATCGGTGTTGTAGTTGAGTCACTAAACCTCAAGTCCGAGTCGTCTTGAGTGCCCGTTGTTCGATGCTGAGTCAAGTTCGAGGCACCAAAGTATAGTCCAGGTTGAGTCCCTGTTACCTGAGTCTAAGTTATCAAGGTCTAAATTAAATACAATTGACACAGTTCTCACCATTTTAAAAAGAGTTTGCTTACTGTTTGTGACACAATAGCCAAACATCATTATTATAGTCTATTACAAAAAAAAAAAGTCTAAGTCCGAGTACCTAACTTCCGAGTCCGAATGCAATCAATGCTTAAGTCCGAGTCCAAGTCTTAGTCAACCATGATCAAGTCCAAGCCAACTCACAAGTCCTGTAAATTGGGACTCAAACCGGACTTGAGTGTGAGTCCTAGACTCGAGTACTACAACACTGAGTGTAATGAGCACAGGGCACCTTAAGGAAGTGTGCACAGTAGCCTGGTTTGTATACAGAACTGCTTTTTCTATGGCTTAAATTTACCAGTGGTGTCAACATTTGTTTACTAGCTCCACCACATCTAAAGCTCAGTAATTACTACTTCATATCTGGTTGGTTAACTTCACACAACCAAAGTGTAAAAACCAGAATTCATGGTTTTACAGGGGCTATAGGCCCAGAGTTACCTGTTCAGCTCCAAACAGCAGACAGACCGAGTTAAAGAATAGCTGGTGAATATTCTGGAGCATGTAGTAGATACTTCTCTCAAATAGAACTAAAAGAGGATAATACTGGACTTAAATTCACCGTGTGGCCAGAAACACAACTCCAAGTGAATGAAAATGTTGCTTCATAACTGTTTGCTGACAAGTTACCAACTAATGGATGGATCAGATACCCTCATTTAACAGAGGAGGGGAGAGGCATGTGATGAATACAGGTGCAGGTATTGTTTGAAGCAGTGTGTTGGCATAGAAACTATAGCCTCAGGGCAGGACTTGGTTCACACTACAGACCTCACTGGCCCCTGACAACACATCTGAGGTTGGATGAAGCAATTCATTGCATAAGGATCTACTTTTATCCAAACCATGTTGAAAAGCAGTAGCAGTATGGTGCCAGTGGAAGGTACTCTTCCCGCAAAGTGGTGCAGTAGTATGTTGTTTTCTTAAGAACATCTCATGCTGAATCCATAGATGTCATTTAGTGCAGAGAGGGTTTGTAAGGGGCAACGTTTCCCCTGTCACCCGTGGCAACTGCTGAGGGCATGCTTCTCTGCACAGACCTAATTCCTCTGGGTCTGTGGCCTATCACTCACATTTCTCCTGCTGCTTAGAAGAGAAAATGTCTCTGCTTGCTGCAACAAACGTAGACAAGTGTTTTTTCATGTGATTTGTTGTGAGTTTAAACAAACAGCTTTATCTTTAACTGACTGTCCTTTATGTTTGCATTACCTGCTGAGAAACAGCACATTCCCACTGTTGTGGTTATCTCTTGTCAGGCTTGCATTGTGTTGCTGCAGTTCCTAGACATCTACCAGAGCGAACCCCATTACCTGGAGCCTGCACTCACAGTCGCTCTTTTTCTCCTCTCCACAGCATGATTTAGGATGAGTGAGTGACTGAGCAATGCCTTGCTTTCCTTCTTCATCAAAAACAAACACACACATATACAACTCTAGACCATCACTTAACAGTTGCCATGACAACATGCAATATCCTTCCATTCCAAAATGCATTGCTTTGGACTTTCTAAAAATAATGTGTGTTGTCTTTCCTCACAGACTCCTCTCCAGACAACAGCCTTCTGAGCAAACCCTCATCCACATGGTAAGACTGTAGGGACTGATGAATGAATGAATGAATGAATTAATTAATTACCAAAAAGAAGAAAGATTTGCAATATTTTAGCTGATAGCCTATTGAATAGTGTTGCAGTCTAAGCATTAGTGACCTGAGACAAAGTCAAGTGTGATGCAAGTGCAGTGACCAGACAACTCCGGCTCAGCGCTGCTATATAGGCTGCAGTGAGATGTGGAGCATGGAGCCAGCATAAATGTAGCAGCTCCCAGTGGGGCAGAGTGAGGATACTGTTGGCAGGGCCGACAAACAGATTAAGGCCATCTTAGCAACTGCTCCTACAGTGGAACAGACAGCCAGCTTATGGATATGACTCTTACAATGAAAAAAAAAAACTAATTTATATAGGAGAATATATATATGTGTGCATTTTATTTAATATGTAATGTTATAAAAATTATAAAATACTTTTTTAATTTAAGAAAAAAAAATGTATATAAGAGAATTGAGCCATGTGTAATGATAACTAATCATAACCACCTTCCCTTCCCCACTGTCATTACTATGGTCATGGCTGGAGCCAGGGGGTGGCCAGGGGTGGCACCGGCCACTCAGGAATCTGATTAGCCACCCCTGTTACCACCTCTGCCAGAGTCAAAATGTGATACTTGTCAGTATTAATGAATGAAAAATGAAAAACAATGACAAAATGTTGCCTTAAATACAACTAACATTTTTCTGGTGCTTTATAATTGACATGAGTCAGTTTACCTTTATTTTATATCATGCATGGAGCATGATGTTTGCATTCATTTCTCTGATTTTGTTGTTGTGGAGTACTTGGCAAGATTCACCTCAGTGGGGGACCCAACTGTGCAGCAGCGATGTCCCTGGCTGGGATTGATTCAGGAGTGCAGCCAAAGTTAGCTAAAGAAAGCACTGTGTGTGTCTCATTCTTACACAAAATAAACAAGTGGATTCTAAATAAAGTATGGTTTATTACTTCATAGAACTAGGGAGTTTCATTTACTTTTTAGATGTATTTCAAATGTGCCACCCCTCTCTCTCACCTACCAGACACACACATACATTAATACTCACTAGAAATGTATGCAAATACATGAGTTTTTTTTTGTTTTTTTGTTTTTTTTACTTTGGATTGTAATAAACAGTTCACATGGCAAAGAACAGAATGGACAATTTGTGAAATTTCTGACAGTTATTTTGAAATTCTATAAACCATCTTGATGTGAAATTGTGCAGTTGAATGAGTAAATGGACTGATGTGCCTGAAGGCACCCTCATCTCTGTATAGTTAAGGGTGATGGGGTCTTTTGTAATACTAGGGTATCATCTGTCAGCAGTCAGGCATTGTATTATAACCATCATCATTCTGTGACAATCTGAGAACAAGAGGAAAACACACTGACTCTGTTTAGCAGTGAAATATCCACAGATCACTTTATTTAGTCTCAGGTGAGCACAGGACATATTTTTTCTTTAAGGTGTAGGATGGACTCCAGTTTACAAAGAGTGTGTGCTTATATTAACTCTAATACTGTGTTTTTGGTTGAAGGATAACTAGGTGAAGTCATCACTGATCGGTAGCAGCTGATAATGATGAGGTAGACAGTGATACACCCAATATGTACAGAGCTGGATGCTAATGAGATAACATGCCAGTTGTCAGTCATGCCTGCTAAAAAGAACTCATGTCAGGTCATTGAAAACAAAGACACGGAGAACAACCCCCTGCATAGGGCCGTGCACTGATATTAAGAAAAGAATCACTGCTAGTAATATACCACCTACACAGTCAGTTAACAAACATTACACCTGTGGGCTAGAAAGTACAGACTGAACAGACTATGCAGGAATAGAAGTAGGTAATATAGAGACATTACAGGTAATATCTGTGTTACTGTGATTAAATGAAACCTGATTTAAAGCAAATTTGCCCATTAGTTTTCCGCATGTTGGGTTCATCAACTGGAAATCCACACAAGGTATAAGCGGAGGATACACTGTACATCACATCTGCAAAGAAAATCAGTGCTCTTTAACTACACATACATTTCAGAATATAAAAATAAACTTTATCAATGTAAACTTGGACTAAAGTGATAACAGCCACATGTCAGCGGCTTGGATTTACAGTTATATGGTGTTATTATCTGATACGTGGCGCACTGTTGCTAAGTTACTTGGCATTATGACCATGAATGTAAATAACAGCTGAGGATGATACATACAGTGCTATGGCAGTTTCAATAATACACATATAGTGAACAGCATCAGGACACAGTATCTCTGTGTTATCTGCTCTGCTAATTAAGAGGAAAACTGTCACTTATTACATTTTCTTTCATAATCCAAAACAAATATACACGTTCAACTTCACTTCCATGTTGGAGAAACACAGGCCCTCTACTTGTCTTCACCTCTAAACTTGAGGTAATACTACATTTGTAGCCACAACAACAGAGTTAATAATCATCACTGAGATAAGCAACTACATCACAACTAAACTATTTTACACTAACAATGACTGGAAACCGACATCCTTTACTTTAAAGGTCACGTAACAGTCTATTAGTGACAGTTTAACAGTCAGGTGAAGCCTACTGAAATACTCACAACCTCTACCGAAGAGAGCATCACACATTGTGTTGAATAAGGTGCACATGGACGAATAACAGTCAGAGATCACTGGAAAAAGCTATTAGAGAGAATAACAGTTCTTGTCAGTGTCTATTGAAGATCATTTTTAAAATTGGCTTATGATGAGCAGGTTACAGGTGTAATAACATGTTATATCAGTAAAAACACAGAAATGATTGTGATGAAGATGATAGGATATTCATCTGTAAAATTACACTGCTATGTCCCAAAGGTTTTCACATACATTGTAAAGTATTACTGTGTTCCAGTTAGATAGAGAGCTGCCGTTCTGGCCACAGTAACCAATCACAGTTTAAGTAGTGTGTGATGACTAAATATAATTTCTAGTTTTCCACAATTGTGCAAGTCTTTAAAGACACATCACAAAGACCACTACAGTTACTGTTATTAATTGAGTAGATATATCAAAGCTATTATACGCACAGAGACTCGACAGTTATCCTTTTTCTCAGTGTGAGGAGCTCAGTTTACAGGTCCAGGCTCAGAAGACCCAAAGCCAGCTGGCTCAGATCCTCACAGCTGTACAGTAGCTAAACATCCACAGCAAAGAACATAAACTCTGCAGCTGGTCGATCCTATCGTAAAGTGTAACCACAATGTGCATTCACTACACTATGTAACCCGATTCATAGAGCAAATGTAGAGTGGCCAAAGCCACAATGCTGCAAGTTACATAACCTTATCCCATGGCAACCATGTTGAGTGATTTGACAGCAACTGCTTAGCGGCTCCCACTGTGCACCTCAGTCAGCCTTGTCCTCGCCGTTCTTGGTCCACCCTCGGCTCATGGCTGCTACCACGATGCTGTACATGTTAAGCCAGGCTTGACGCACAGGTGCTGTGTATTCCTGGCCCAGGCTGCGCTGCAGCATGTAGAGAAGGGACTCACCCACCACCTGCAAAAGTCAAAACAAACAAACACACAGGGAAAAAACATCTTTTCTCACTGCTCATTCGCTTGTGAAATTGCTTTTTTAAAAATTGTAGTATGAAATGTTGGTCCTACAGTAAATGACTGTGTGTTGACTCCCACTGCCTGATGCTTCCTCCCAAGGTTGAGTAGAAACTCCTCCAAGGACTGTAGGTCATCCAGGTGGCTCACGGCTGCATCGATCACAAACATCACCTGCGATCACAGCAGACACACATATATGCAAAGTGTGGACAAAAAAACAACAAACTAAAACTCTAAATGTCTATATTTGTAGTAGTCCCTGCAGCGAATGGAGCTCACCTTAGTGACATGTTCCAAAAACTCGGGACTCGAGACGCAGTCCTGTGTGGAGTCGCACTTTGTACTGTAGTGGAAAAGACTGAGGAGCGCAGGGTCCAGCTCAAACAGTCTATCACAGACAAAAAACACACTATTCTATAGGTGTATACAGATGGCATGGGTTGCCAAACATCCACACAGACATAGAATCAATTTATAAATCTACATCTACAAATCTCTCTTGATAGTGTCTGATTTAGCTGCAGCTGTCTCAAAGTAAATTGTGGATTATCGCAGTCTGTCTCCAAGCAACAAGTCAAGCCTCTGGTGCTTGCATGGTGAAAGTGTGCAGTGAAGGATCTAGTCTGACTGTCTCTCCATACCTGTGTTACATATCCAAACACCCCAGTATTAAGCAACAACACAGAAAATACAATATCTATTATTTATGTATAGTGTTATTAGAGTTCATGTTAATGAAGACATAACTAAACACATTAACCATCTTGAATGGTTTCTTCCCTTACAAGTCATGTTACTGTCTTATTCTGTTTGAATCAATCTAATTGTGTGGCTCATTACCTGGAAAACATGATGACACCATGAGGAACTTTGTTTTTGCCCAGGCTCTCCCAGCTGCCTCGTATCAGCTCCTTGTCTTTCCCTGACAGCATCTCCATCCTCTCTCAGGCTGAAAACACGAGGCAAGTTCTTCTAGAGGGGAACCATACAATTCCTCTACAGGACAAGAAGGCTCAGCTTCAGGACAGCCATAATACTCAAGTGAATCCACAGGCAACACCTCCACCAACCCACCTGGAAAACAACGTGTAACACAGGTAATTTGCTTCAGTTGTAAAGAGGGGGAAATCAGATTCCTAGGCTAGAGATGCACAAGCATACTGTACCTTCTTGAGGTCAGTCTTCTCTCTGAACTTCTTCTGGTACAGCTGGGCTGAGGGGGCTGTATGTGTGTGTGTGTTTTTGTCTGTGCAGGCAGCAGCCTTGCCTGACGTGCTCTCTCTTGCCCTGGCCTACGATGGATTCAGGGAGACAAATCCTGCCACGCTCTTCTCTGTCACACTGGCTGCTATCTCTCTCCCCTTCCTGTTTGCCTCTTGATATTGCTCTCTCTCTAGCACTGGGAATATTATTCATGCCACTCAAGGAGAAGAGGGGCTGCAGCAAGCCACAGCTCCTCCTGCAGGTGAACTGCAGACTAAAACACACAGAGACTCAACACACACACACACACACACAACATTATACTCAGAACATAGAGTACACTGCACTTAACCAAATACTTGGCCTTTGCACTTTACTTTATAATCAAATGATTTTACAGAAAACAAGGAATTAAGATAAATAACAAAATAACCAGAAAACACAGCATAAGCTTTTCATGATGTGTAAGTACCGATGTTAGGCCTATATCATTTATTCAGCTGCCTACATTAGAAACCCATGCGCTTACAGAATTAAATGTATGGGAATTTAATATCGTACAGCAGCTAGAATAATAAGAGGCCTGAACATTCCACTTTGGTGAAATTATATTGTTCATCTGCTAAGTAGAGTCACTCCTTAAACAGCGTGATGATAACATTCAGTGGCTAAGCGCACAACCTCTCATTAATCTAAATGAGACATGTGTGTTCCCTTTCTCAGCCTCCACACGCATCCAAGGGACTACAGGTTGTTTGAAGTGATGTCACGGGCATCTGGTCCCTCATGAATTTCACAGATGCAGGCTCCTGCTCGGATATTATCTAACAGGTTGGGAGAGATTGGTTTGTTTTGAGCTGCGCGCCGGGTAATCAGAGGTGCACAGTGATCTCCTGAGGGACTACAAAGTAGAACGGGGAGGGATACGGGGTTCCCATGACAACCTGACAGGATGGAGCCCTTGAAGCTTTGTCATGTGATGCTTGAGATCTCAAGGAAGGGACTGTGATTATTTACTACATCTGTAAGTACTATGTGACAGTAAGTTAGCGTTTATGCATCTTATATATTTCTTATGACTTAACATGATCATCCTATCTGAATAATCGATTAATAATGAATACAGTTATTTTACATTTTCTATACCACTTTGTGTTGTATTGAAGTTATGTTGACTCTCATATATTAAACTCTTATCTGTATAGCACCTTTCAATCATACAATTAAACAGTGCTACCTTAAGATGAATCACTCAGTGATTTCATTGTTTTATCTCAACTCATGCCAACATTGTCTTCAACAGCTCTAATGCATGACACAGTGGCCTACAAGAAGTAACCATATAGAATATACTGGTCCCCATGACATTTTAATTGTGATTATATACTGTATGTATTCTGACATTTCCATGTGGTTTGTAAGGAAATATAGGCTTTCAAATTCCTGGATGTCAGCTGTCTAAGCATAAGAATATAGTCGGGGCCAGCGAACAAGCGTTTTTGATGTGGATCTATGGGCTTGAAGCAGACCACTGAACTAGTCTGAGGGAATGCAGACGCACAGCTGTAGAAATAACCGGGAATAACCAGGAACACCCATCTGAGAGCGGCTCATGTCAGACGCTTTAAGTCCTTACATGACCCAAAAAATACATTTATTCAAACTTTAACTAAAAAAAAAGAAACTAAGTGCAGTGGCAACTAAAACATCTCACTGCAGAAGTTTTCATATGGAAAATGGAAATCCTGATTTAGAGTTGGTAAAACAAAAACTAATGTCTCACACATGGTGGTCTCAGCTGGTGTCCTCATTCTGTTTCTGAACTGATCATTTTGGTAACCAAGTCTTCATCATCATCTAAACTAAATTTAAACTAAATTACAGTCTTCATAATCCTTAGCAAAACTGTCGTAAAACCAAAAATATGTCTTTTTGTTTTATTGTCTATTGCATCTACAGGATGTATATATACCATATGCAGTATACATTTATGTTAGTACTGCATGTGTATAAATTATATAATACAAATTAAATTCAACATACACTGTATCTTTAAGTCAAAATATTAATTATATACAGTATATACATTTCAATAAACTTCCAGCTGTAACTATGATTGCAGGGCCCAAAGCCCATTTGTTTTGTAATTTTGTAATTTATAGTTGTACATCTTAAACTATCAATCATTTGGTGTGGATAGTTAGTTGTGACATGAATCATTTTTGAGGACAGTGCTGGTTTCTAGCGGACAGGCCACAAAAACTCTGTGCCGCCTGAACCTTTTTGATCATGGCATTTCTTCCCTTTTGGACTTCACGCTCTTCTCTTCCAGATCTTCAATTTTCTCCCCGTCATCGACATTTTCTTCCCTAAATCAGACATGTTGGGTAAGAAAATGGCTATATTGTAATTACATCAAACTTTTATTTGGCTACAGTATTTTTCTTTTCTTCACTCATGACTGCAGGGCGAGCTCAGAAAATTATGTAATGTAATATGAGCAAACCACGTAAAGACCTCAGCTTTGCGGCAAGCAGTGCTATTCATAATTTTACCGGACACAGTGAGATTAAATAGAGGATGAACAAAACGTGCTCAAAATTCTCACTCTGCCCACCTGATATGAATGTCACTTTCAGTGCTGCAGTCATTCACGCCCATGTCATCCTCAGCTCTGGATGATGTTGATACTCCATCAGCTGCTTCACTATTATCTTCAACAAACTCCTCCTTTAGCCCGGCTTTTTTCAGCTTGTTCCTGTATGCCTGCTCTGCAAGGGCCTTCGCATTTCTCTGCAAGTAAAAACTCAAAGATATGACTGCAGGTGCATATCATTTACAATGTGATCTAACATTTAAGCTTTATTTCACGTACCTGTTTCAACTGTTCGAACAAATAAGGGCGTTCACTAACTCGTGCCTTCATGTCCCGTAATTCCTTATTGTACTCTCTCATCCTTTGCTGGTCAGCTTCCCTTCATGTAAGAGAAGATTATATTTTGAGCTGCTGTGGCAGGCACATGTGGTTGCCCTGATGAAAGTAGCAAAGGCTGCACAACTGCTAGAATGATTTGGGCTCATTTCACCAGTACTTACCGATAGCGCTGTAGTTTTTCATTATACACTTCTTTCAAGCTGATGTGTGGGTCCAGCAATTTTGCATGGAGGGCGACTGTCTTCTTCATGGCCTGAGACCTCATTTGGTGCTTCAGTGACCATTCTGCACTCTCTTGATTCTTACTGTCTCTAATCTCCATTGACTTTCTGTGAAGGTAAAAAGACATACGCATTGGAAGATTCAACTGTTTATTGTAAAGGAACTGTACAAAGGAAAAATTAACTGTCCAAAGTCATGCCAAAATAGTCCCATTCACCTAATGGCCATGCAGCGCTTCCTCGCAGCATCTGTGATGAATATAGGGAGTGTGTCTGTGGACAACGATGTTAAGGCTCCCAGTGACTTGCTTCTATTGAGATTGCTTATTTTTGGTTCCTGTCAATGAGAGGAAAAAAACTGAAAGCAAAACAAAATGTATTCATTGAGCACAAAATGTGTTGTCTTTTATATTTAAGATTAACTTAATAATAAAATCCTATGGGCAGTACACCAGCAAAGTGTACCGTATTTACTGTAAATACATGCAGAAATCAGTGTACTGAGCTGGGACAGATGATATGACATACCACAACTCTGAACAGCACATTTATTTATCAATTTATGGAAGAAGTGTGATAAAAGCTAAATGAAGAGTTATTTTTAAATTTCATTAAGTTCGTTGCAATGTAAAAAAGTACCACAGAAAGACTAAAATGGATAAATCTGATAAATTACCAAACATATTTTCTGAACAATATACCTAGTAATAAGGGATTTTTAAAAAATAAAATGTTATGCTCAGTCTTCCTGGTGGGTGGATGTGTCTCAAATAATCCATCAAGCTAAGAAGGTGTGAGAGACATCAAAAAAGTGATGTATAACTGTAACATGAAACCATCTGGGCCTGGTGCTTTAGAGTCCTGGATGTCTTTTTCTTTTATGCAATTCTTGTAAAGACACTAGCTCTTCTGGACAAACATTATCTTTACATTTACCGTTAATATAATTTTGAGAATGTCATTAATCAAACCCCTGCACACCATAAATTCCAACTCTGACAAATCTGTTGACCAAAACCTGAATTGCATCAATGACAAAAAAGTTAAACTAAGGTTAGCACATATTGTAAGAAGCAGTTAAACCAAACTCAAATTAAATAAATGAATAAATAAAAGCAACTAAATAAAACAAAAAAAAATGTAATAAGTATTCATGTTTAACAAAATCACAGCTATGAGATGAAGAGAATGCCTTACCTGGGAGTTTTTAGGGCTCATCTTACTTTGCCTTGCAGGAAGAGCTGATGTCCTCAGAGAGAAGGGCTGACACTTGGTCACATCTTTACACTGTGCTTTTCTCAACACCTCTGTTTGCAAGGCCTTGTGCAACCTGCTGAAATCAGGGACTTTACGGATGATTTTTGGCCGGAAGCTCGGCTTCTCATCCATGAAGCCCAGCTTTTCTTTTCTGGTGTGTTCAGCAGTGCGAAGTTTCGGGCTGCCAGATGTAGCAGGATTGTCCTGTCGCACTTTAGTCTGAATGGAGACTTTTTTGCACACCTCCTCTTGGCCTACACAGTCAGGTAAGATAAAAGCTGTAGTCATGTCGCTGAGTTGAGTGTTTCAGAGGTACTGTATACATGCAACTAACATGGCATGGAATCAGTGTGTAACAGGGTCAATTCAACAATTTTGAAATTAAAGGCTTTTAATTCAAAACATGTTCAAAGTCTCGAGCAGCGCGGTGGTTGTTGAACTGAGATCTACTGTTTTGTTACCACATCTGCTGAATTTTATATAGAGATGTAGCTAACAAGTGATTTTCAACTAACCTAGATTATTTTTCTGATTAAATGATAATTCAGTTAGTGGAAAAAATGTGAGAAAAATGTGAAAAACGCCAATCACAATTTCCCACAACTCAGGGTGACATTTTCATTTGTCTTGTTTTATCCAATGAAAACCCAGTGGCCTTTAGTTAACAATCACTGACGACAAAAGAAAACCAGAAAATCCTCACATTTGAGAAGTTGTAGCTGATGATTAATTGGTTATTAAAATCGCTGGCCATTAATTTTCCATCAATTAAATAACTGAATCACTTCTAATAACATACTATAATATACACTATATTATATATATTGTCTACTGTTTATTAAAAAATTCCATCAGTAAAGCATGCCTTCCATCACGTTTGCCCAATCATGATCCTAATTAAGGCCTTTTCTATCTCTTGACCATACCAGTAGTTCCTAACCTTTCTGTGAAGACATCAGAGAATTCACAAATTTATCTGAGGGTTTAGGAGAAAAAAATTGTTTCTAAAACTTCTGTTAAATAACAAAAATTATGTTTCTTTTTCCTTACTTTTCTCAACAAAAAAAAAAACCTTTGTCTTATGAAAAAGTGAGTCATAAGCCTGTAAAATTGAAGAAACTGAGAAGAAAACTTCACTTTTTGGCTGAGCTTCTCTCAATGATATGTACAACCTGTGACTAAAGATCACAAGCCCAGATGTAAACCAATAAAAAAAAAATCCTTGGATCTGTCCAAATTTTCACACTGACTGCAGCCACACATTCCACCAGCCAGCACCTTTTGGAGGGAAACAAACCACATAATCAACCCACCTTTGGGCTCAGATATCGAGACATCCTTTTCTGCTTTGTGAGGAGGTTTTCTAACCGTAGCTGCCTCATTTTTCTGATCATGTGACACTTGGTTTAACATTGCTATCAGCTTCTCTCTTTTCTCCATTTCTCTCTTCTCGAAGCTGAAAGGTTTTTGTGTGGAGAGCCAGAAGTTCTGCCTCTGCTCGAAAGCCTGCTTCCTCTCCTTCTCTCTCATCTCCATCATCTCCTGGAAGAGGAGCTGACTGACATGGCTGGGGGCTGGGGCAGCACAGAACTTATTCTGGCACTCGGCCTCAGCTTCCTCCTCTTTTCTCATCTGTGTTGTTTTAGATGAAGCTGCACGTTCACACTGCTGAGTCCTAGTAGGCGTCAGCATGGAAGTCCTGATTGAACAATTCCTCCCGTTTGTCAAAGATAACCAGGCTGGAGAATATGATTTTCTGGAAGGGTGTGAAGTTTCTTTTTCTGACATCAGGTTAGACAAAGAGGAGGATCTTCTGGTCCTCACATGCATGAAAAAACAATGAGTATTTACAAAAATACACAAATCATTATTAAAAGCAAACATAAAACACTGTCGAGAAAACTTACTTGGCCTGATGTTCATCAGATTGTCCATCTACATCTGCTGGGAGGAGAGCGTTTTGATGAATCCTTCTCTCCAGTTCCTCTTTCTGTCTGCTCTCTGTCTCCTGGAACTGCTTTGTGAGAGCATTGCTAAAAACTCTGAGCTGCTCCTGGAGCATTAACTCTAAGCTGAGTCCATCTTGTAGCAAGGTCTCCACCTTCGACATATTTCTCTGACCTGTGACACACACACACACACACACAGGATAATAAAATGTAATATGTATGCATTCAATGATCAACAAGAAGCAGGGAGAACAAAAAAAATCATATATTAAATGCACCTTTCTCACATACATGCTATGCTAATATCTCCAACAACCTATTGAGGCATGTGAACACCCAAGCAAACAATGACATGAGACTGACTCATTATATTCATACTGTCCCAGGAAATTTTATATGATCAATCGAAAAAATAATAATTAATAATAATTTTGTTGCTTGTTGTATGTCTGCTTTTATTTGTATTTTGATAGTGTTTTTAGAACTATGTCAATGTTAAAAGTTAACGCATTTCAAGACTTGCAGTCATCTCCACCTCTAGTCTGCGTAAAGAGGTTACCATGACAACCACACATCAGCGCTCTCAACAGAGCCATGCTTTTAGCAGTCTAAGTCTCTATACTGATTTACTTTTGCACTTATATGCGAATCTGACTTCTATTTGTTATTATTATATTCAACTGGAAAGCAAGAATAAACCGCCAACCTGGTAAAATGACGAGTTTTAGGAAACACGTCTCGGCGTCGAAGCGTCAGTTCCAAACTCGTAGCTCGTAACAGCTAACGAAAGTTTAACTTCGCTAACAAGATACACTACAGCTCATATTCGTAAGCGAATGAGGTTTGTTGTTGATATAAAGTTGACAGAGTATTTGTTGAACTCCTTAAAATGAAGCAGGTATCGTCTATTTGTACACAGTCGCCAGTTTTGGTAGCATTAGCGCTGCTTGCGGACAGAAGAGGCAACAGCACACGTGACAACATTTTCTGTGATTGGACGTGCAACCGGAAGTACTTCCTCTCGAGTGCACGCATGATGTCAACACAACATGGCTGGGTGATAGAGTAGACATAGCTGTTCTTATCAGGACACATTCAAGGAGAAACGTCCATCTGTTTATCATATGAACGTGATCAGACTTAAGAGTTGGACTGGCTTCTCTCATTTAATGCGGAGTTTGTCCCATATGAAGACAGAATAATGCACAAACTCTTAAAGGCGCCGCTGGCCTTCAACGGATTTGGTCGGTGTTTGTTAACAGAAAAATGTTTATCTGCTATAAAAATAATAAGCCGAGGATTAGTTTGTACACAACATAGGGACGATTTTGGCAAGGATGAGGTTTATGATGTTATTATATCCGGGGGAGGGATGGTTGGATCTGCAATGGCATGTGCCATAGGTGAGTGACCTCAGGTGTGCATTCGACCATTATAAGGCAGTATTTGTATTTACCCAGACCTGTGTAACGTTATCTGTAGTGAGTCGAAAAAACACGTCAAACCTACTCTATAATTTACTAAAACTCTTAGATGTGGCGCAGTACACAACATGACATGCTACTGTACTAAAACTCCTAGATGTGGCGCAGTACACAACATGACATGCTACTGTACTAAAACTCCTAGATGTGGCGCAGTACACAACATGACATGCTACTGTACTTGTAATTGCACATGCAGAGACTCAATATTGCACATGTGCTGTCATTTTTATGCAGTATGTACTTTTGCCAGGTATGGATCCAAATTTGGTGAGTAAGAAGATTCTGCTGCTTGAAGCGGGTAACAAGAAAGTGATAGACAAGGTTCCAGAAACGTACAGCACCAGAGTCAGCTCCATCAGCCCAGGCTCCGCCACGCTCCTCAGTGGTACAGTATACATTCTTTCATAGTTATACAGTGAACATTATTTTGTGAAAGGCTTTGTACATTTAGAAGGGTGGTTTAACCAGACAGAAAATAAATTCACAAAGTTATTTACCTTCCTACCCATGAGATGCTTGTGGTGCTAGACTGGTAAATGACTCCTATTAGGTAAGCCAGGGATCAAACACTAGCATTTAGCACAAAACCAAACAATCAATAAAAGATCAATGAATGATTTTCACTATAACCTCATTATATAAAAGTCATGTTTATCACATGTCTATGTCTTCCTTTAAACACTCAAAATGTTTTTATAATGGGTGGCTTTAAAACTTTCTGCAAAACAGAAGTAAACACATCTACATTACTAGACTCCTGCCTTGTTGTTGGTCCCAGTGCAGCTCAGACTTGACCCTGATCACAAAAACTAGTTTGATCCATTTCCTTCTACTTTCTACATTATGTGAACATATGATCTTTGTTTTTCTGGTTAAAATGCACTGGATTCATGTTTTGACTTTCAGATTATTTTTTATTAGGATTATTATCCCCACCAAGGCGGAGGTGATGTCTATAATGGCGTTCCTTGGTCTGTTTGGTTGTTCACAGCATAACTCAAAAAGTAATCAATGGATTTGCATGAAAGTTTTTGGAGAGGTAGTGTATGGCCCATGGAATAACACATTAGATTTTGGTATTGATCCAAATTATTATCTGGATCTGGGAATTTTTTTAAAGGATTCTTCACCATTGTCAGATTGGACAAATTTCAATATTTTTGCTTCTAACTCCATACACAAGGCCTACACTGCTTTGACAAAAACTGCACAATAACATCCACATAAGATCTCCCACACACCAATGTCTGGTCTGGTTCCAAGTAATATTTGTGATCTGCTGATTCAGAATATTCAAATTTATAGGACACATGGAAAACTCGCTACTGTGAAACAACAAATAATGCTACAGGTTTGCACCTAAGATCAAATTCTAGCTGAAACTCTGTTACTGAGCCAGATCCCGAAGAAAGCTGCCATTACTGAAATGCTTTTTTCTTGAATAACCTTCAAGCTACTAATGATATCAATGTGGCTCTAAATGCGAGGAGTAAGTTTTCATGCTCAGGGAATCATATTGTGAGGGTCATACTATCATGGTAATATTAAGTTGTTGCATTACATTAGTATTGCAATTGTTGTTAAATATGTTTGTGTACACACAGGTATTGGAGCATGGGAACACATCACAAAGATGAGGTGCAAGCCATATAAAAAGATGCAGGTATGTTTATTTTCACTACCCGATTACAACTTTTTTTTAAATCTGTGCACCACAAGGGTACAGTAACTACCACTGCTGCCATGTTACAGGTTTAGAAAAGTATAGTTTCAAGACAGAAAAAACTGTACATGTTTCTGTCATTCATGAATCATAGTACTATACAATTTGTGGAGAAACAAATTCTGTGATATTCAGCTTCTACTCAGTCATTCGACTTAATGAACAAGTAAAACAATACTGGATCATAATATAATTGTGTATATGGTAACATGCATTTTGTTCATTCTTGGGTGTGCAGTTTATGCCTTTTCAGTAGCTTTGTAGGATCTGTGGAGCACCAAATGCCAAAGAGCGCAAGGCCATTTCCTGAGTACTGTGTGGCTTTCTTATTATTCAAGTTTTATTTATTAAAGCCATGTTTTTTTATGAAGTATAAGTCATTTTGTAGTTTTCAAATTGGTACTTGTTCTCCACAACTTCTAATTATGAAGATTCAAGTGAACAACGGCAAGAAGATGAAAGATTAAGAGAGTGGTTGTTTGCTGCAAAGTGAGCCTGTTTTACGACCATGGGTTCAGGCTCTGACCCTCTTGTAAGATGTGGTTGGTGTGGACCAAACACACGACCACAGGGTTTTTCTCTGGGCCTAAGATGTCATCAGGCAATGCCTTACAGTGATTATGGTAGTGTACCTCTGCCATTATATCTTCACTCTGCTACCACAGTTTTGGCTTGTTTGCACACTGATTCACAGTCATATACATTTCAGCCATAGCACTGGGAAGTATGTATTGTAGGTCAGCTCTAAATAACATTCTCTCCATCCAGTAAAATACGGGTCCACCTTAAATATCCAGTAAACACTGAGGGTTTAGATTTGAAACAGACATCAAATAAAGTTTATGCTACAAAGTCATTATTTTGCCCACATTTTTCTTTAACGTTGCAAGGAAGTGTGTTGTTTAAATACAGCACAGAAAGCAGCAACTCGTTCTGACCCAAAGTTGCATCATTTCACCCTATGTAATACAAAACCAAAACAATTTTTGGGCTGGTCTCGGTAAATCTTTCTTCCTAACCACTTATCACAAGTTGCAAACCCACTGCCATTAGTGGGTTTCAGCAGGGTATAGCCCCCTACTTTATGGCAAGCTGGAAAACAAGTAGTGCAGCAGCATGTTACTGTAGAATGATGGGTTCTGTAACCATCGTTACAATCAAGGAGGGAATTAACTTTGTACAAAGTCTTTTCACCCCCTCATGTTTAAGTCCAGCAGTGCTTTCAGGGTTGGAATTACAGTAGCCTAAATCTACATCTCATTCTGCCACTTTTGGTCGCAGATAAATATTGACTCACTCTGTAATGTCCACAAACGTGTCATTTGTTAGTTGTGTTTCCAAGAAAATGTTTGCAAAAATCCACATCACAAAATGTCATTTGATCCTCCACCTCAGAGAGCTCTGTTGAACTGAAGTCAGCCGTCCAGCCACATGAGTGTTGGTGACCGTCGTCGCTCTGGGTTTGATATATTCAGGCTGTGCCAAGTTCTGACAGCATCTAACAGCTTTGATGTGTTCAGCTCAGTGAAGCAGTGCTTCTCTGCCCAGCTCTATATACAGAGAGGGGATGCATTTAAGAATAGACTAGTAGACCACAGGCATAATGAGTCTCTCATTTAGGTTTGGGATGCCTGTTCAGATGCTCTGATCACATTCGATAAGGAGAACCTGCAGGAGGAGATGGCATACATCGTGGAGAACGACATCGTTGTGGCTGCACTCACTAAACAGCTGGACAGTCTGTCCGGTAAGCACAGCCTCACACAGTAGCAGACCTCTTGATTCCTGTTCCATCTGCCTAATGGACACCGGGCCTGGCAGCTAATGCCGACACATTTATTCCATCCTGTCCCCAGGTTTTGTTTATTTGTACTCTCTCCCAGTGACTGTTTTTAAAGACAAGTTAAGCTCTTGGAGCAACCCGTGTTTTTCCTGCAATTTCAATCAAAACCTCACATTTTGGGAACTGCAGAGCCCCAGCACCCTGTGAGGACACGTGAACTGGTCCAGTGACCTATTTAAAACTGCCATGTGCTCCCATGCTCTGACAGTGTATGGTGCTGTATAGCTGTTGACATTAGAGCAACTTTTGTGAGGTTCGCAAATAAAACTTAGCTCTTCTATGTGCTTGACAGTTAAAGTGGCGTATTTGTAAACAGTTTTCAACATTTTGCACCAAATAAGGATGTGTGGTTACAGCACGTTTTTGCCTCATGTGCCTCCCATTTGTCTGCTTCTCTCTCGCTCTCCTCTCATTTTAGCCGTGGTGTTATGCCCAAGATGCAATACATGAAAAATATGGTTCCCCACCAGCTGTTTTCAATATAAACCTCCTCTCCAATCACTGAAAACCCATATTTGACATTTGTATTCAGGAACTAGCAGCTGTTCTGCAAGAGCTAATGTACTTCGGGATCCTTTTGTGTTTGGGATGTGCTGCTGCTGCTGGTATTTTAGGAAGAGGAGCAGTTAAAAGTACAAAATCCAACAAGCTGGCAACAAGTGTGGCATGGTGGGCTTCCAGATAAACACCATTAGTTAAGTCAGTGCAACGTGGCAGGCCAAGACAGGGTGCGGCTGTGGCTCAGTAGATAGAACGGGTTGGTGGTTCGATACCCTGGTTTCCAGTGGTGGAAGAAGCACTCAGATCCTTTACCTAAGTAAAAGTAGTAATGCCACAGTGTAAAAACACTTTGTTAAAAGTAAAAGTCCTGCATTCAAAGTGTTAAGTACAAAGTTTTAGCATCAAAACATACTAAAAGTGCAAAAATGGCACATTTAACATTAATCTGTCATTACTGGATTCTAATTATTGATGCATTATTATATACATCACTTTAATGTTACAGTAAAGGTGGAGGAAATTTTAACTAGCCTGTATGCTTATGGTTTGAATTACTGCTGGGTAGCTTGTGAATTTCTCACCAGGCATCAATAGTGTATTTTTTAATTAATCAGATTCTGAAAAGTAACTAAAGTTATCAAATAAATGTAGTGGAGTAAAAAGTACAGTATTTGCCTCTAAAGTATAGTGAAGAAAAAGTATGAAATAGTACAAAATGAAAATACTGAAGTAAAGTACAGATACCTCAGAACTGTACTTAACTACAGTACTTGAGTATATGTACTTAGTTACTTTTCACCACTGCTTTAACTATTAAGAAGACTGTCAAATATGAACTTTGCAGCTCTAGTCTCATGTGCCATGGAAGAAAACCAGTGGTGTTTTATGATATGGCTTGTGGATCTTCCACTGCTTTGGTTGCAGGCACATCCTCTTGTTTTTTGAAAGAAAAAAATTTAGTCTTGTAATACTTACACAGGACCAAGACTGATCCCTTTGTTTTGAGAAAGTCACACCAGATGCCATTTTATTTTAAGGGACACTGTCTTTGTTTCTTTACTGCTGCTTTTGTAGTCACCAGTTTTATGTTTTATTGTTGTTTGCCAGATAATGTGCAAGTTAAGTACAGGTCCAAAGTGGTGAAGTATATGTGGCCCATGCCCCATCTCGCTGTAGACTCCATGCCATGGGTCCGGGTCACACTGGCCAACGGAGAGACTCTGCACACCAAGCTGCTGGTCAGTGTTATTCCATCTCACAAGCCATACTTGTTTATCTGTCCTTGTCCATGTTGGTGTTTACTGTTTTCCTTTTTCTCATTTGGTTTTCAGATTGGTGCTGATGGACTAAACTCAATGGTCAGGGAGGAGTTAGGGATACCCACAGTCAAGTGGAATTATGACCAATCTGCTGTGGTTGCTGTGCTGCACCTAGCAGAGGTCAGTATCACAGTCAACACATGCATACAGTCAGTGGTAGAAAGTAACTGGTTCCTTTTCAGAACCAGATTAATCCAAAAATTACAGTATAATCATCAGACTTTCTACATCAAATCACAATATATGTATGTGCAATATATGTAATTAAAATATACTTATACAATGAAGTGCCACAGAATTAATATTTAATTTAAATAAATGTGTGTGTGTTTGACAGCCCACAGAGAACAATGTCGCATGGCAGAGGTTCCTCCCAACAGGGCCCATTGCAATGTTGCCGGTAATATATCTGCATTATTTACTGCTGTAGTTTTTACAACATATCCGCCTGTCACATAAGTGTTTGATAAAGCTTCACCATCCACGCAGTTGTCTGACACGGACAGCTCCCTAGTGTGGTCGACCAGTCATGGGCTCGCAGAGGAGCTGCTGGAGCTGGACGAGGAGAGCTTTGTCGACGCCATCAACTCTGCATTTGTAAGTCTGGCTCTAGCCGTTAAACTGCTGATGCTGTATTTACAGTCAGATTCCACATCCCTCACTAAGATGTTGCAACATTTGTGTATTTGTGTGCAGTGTGCCGTGGCGGTATGCGGCAGGGGTCCTCTATAGACTTACTCACGTGTTCAACTGTTTTCAGTGATTCAGACAAACAATAACGTCATTGTTTTGTGCAGCTCTTCTACAATACTAATATTTCACTGTGGGAATGATGTACCTTTCCAATTTTTTTTTTTTTTTTTTTGTTTGGAGAAAGTCCTTTTTCCCAAGCGGGTTATTTTTACTGGGCTTGCTGATGGACAGGGTCACCACGGTTGAGTCACGTTTTGGTTTCAGGCATGGTTTGCTAATTAAACCTGTGGTTTCCCAGTGTCGACCATTACTGCATGGAATGTTTTTCAAACAGAGCTAATTCAACTGCATAGCCTGGCCGGCATCTTCTTTTAATTAGCACAGCTCTCAAGGTCCTGCCAAACCAGTTAGTTAGGGAGGGGCGAAAAAGCACTTTCGCTGGCCTGGAGTTCAGCTTTGTTCTTATGTCAACTAATTTCTTTATCCACTCAAAGGCATAATGTCTGTTTTCACTCTCTTTTGGTCATTTTCCGTCCTCTTTGAATACACTTTTGTCTTCTTGCCTGTCTGTTTGTGTGCACTGCAGTGGAGTAATGAGAACCAGTCAGAGCTGATTGAGACGGCTGGCTCTCTGTTCCGTGGTGTCCTGTCGGCCATCATGCCGTCTGTAGGTTCCCCTAGACAGCTCCCTCCAAGTGTGGCGGGGATTGGCCCAAAGACCCGGGTTATGTTCCCACTGGGCGTGGGTCACGCATCAGAGTACATAAGGCACCGTGTTGCTCTCATTGGGTAAGATGATATGCAGGATTTTTTTAAAATTAAGATACTTCCTGTGTAGGGGCCTAACACTTTGCTTTTGCACTATATGTAAAATAGCATAGCATGCACTGAATGTGTTTGGATAGTGAAGGATAGATTTGTCTTTGCAGGGATGCAGCCCACCGTGTCCATCCTCTAGCAGGTCAGGGAGTCAACCTGGGCTTTGGGGATGTGGCTTGTCTCACACAGCTCTTGAGCCAGGCAGCCTTTAACGGGAAGGACCTGGGTCAGTGAGAACTTTTCATACACACAAATGCTGCAACCGTGGCATAGTGGTTTCCCCTAAGCTCTTTTCCATAGCTCCAGTCAAACGCATGCTGTTGATCTGAAGTATAAAAAGCGTCAGCTTTTCCGGCAACTTTATTTGATGTTTTTATGCTCATTCTGCCAGGAACTGTGTGCGATGTTTTTCATTTAAAAATCATAGCATTCTGTCATGAGACTATGTTTATTTTTTTCCTAAAGTCAGAATAGCACCATGACTTAATGCTCAAAACATATGACAGACATGCAACTAACTATAGTTAGTTGCAGTTAGTTTTTAACCCCCAGCCTTTTGTTGTTTGTGCAGGAGCAATACAGCACCTATTAGCATATGAAACTGAACGGCAGCGACACAATCTGCCCATGATGGCTGCCGTCGACCTCATGAAACGCCTTTATTCTACGAATGCTGCTCCCGTGGTTCTCCTACGCACCTTCGGTCTGCAGGCCACCAACATGCTCCCATTACTAAAAGTAAGCTCTCTCTCCTCTGGCTTCTCCGTCTAAACATATCCTCCTATACATTACATCCCACTAAACCTGGCCATCACCTGTCAAACCTGAGCCCTGCCTCCACACTCACTCTTCCCTCCACCCTCTTTTCTGATTATGTGGAGCTTTTACTTCAGCGGTGTCTGTAATTTTCAGGGTTCTGAACATACTACTATGGCATCTAAGTTTAGCCCCAAATTTAGAGTTACCATAAGTGTGTGGGTGGGGTGCAGGGCTGGCTCTGGGGCAGCGGACAGTGGTGTTGGCTTGTGTTTTCACACCCCTTTTATTACCAGCCACTTATAAGAAATGGCTTTATTCCCTACTAAGTGATTTAGAACAGCACAGCTGTAGCTGTACAAACATTTCACTATCGACCACAAAGTTAAATGCAACACCTTTTCCATATTAAGTTGAAGTTCATAGGTCTGTAGAGAGGTCTGCCATCCCACTCATGTGGAACAGGTTCTTAGTAAAAGTAATTCATAGGTTCCAGAGTTTAGCTGATGTCTCTTTTGCCTCTGCAGGAGCAGATCATGGCATTTGCAAGCAAGTGATTCATCCATTGGTTGATCTCCTGTGACTTTAAAAGCTTGTAAAAATTTGAATGTAAAATAACTAAAATAATAAAGATTTATTTTACTCTTTTGCTGGCTCAGTGCAATGCTTTGCCGCTGTCCACAGTATAACATCAAAAGCATGAGATTTGTTGATTTTGTGTCCCCTTACTATTTTGCAGATGCAACATGTGAAGCACTTCACTCTTAGATGAAGAGTTGATTTAAACTGTGCAGTCAGAGATAGTTTCATAAAATCAGTGTTGAAAGATGTCGATCAAACAAAGCTTATTTTTCATGTTTTATTAAAACATACATGTATAGTATAAACTTATTTCACTTGAATAAAAACAATTTACATATGTTGGTCATCAGGTTTTTCATACTGATGAACCTAGAGGCATTTGTGAGCATTTGTGCAGCAAAAGGTTTTGCAATGTAAAAGCAATTCCTGTCAAATGATTTCACAAATTTTACATTGTGTATATACAGCAGTAGTTACTGAACATGTTAAATACTGAAAAAAAAATCCAGCAAAGGCATGACTTGGCAGTTACACAGAGGTTCAGGAGTTAATATTGGACAAGGATAATTAAAATACTCTAGGTAGACTTTCAGTTATTTAAATATTTGTACAGTTAAGAGAAATGATAAAGAATATTACTAATATTTTTGAGTAATCAGCAACAAGTGAAGGAGTCATGTTTCAGACTCCTTTACACAATATCTGTTTACATGTAATGGTTATAAATTATGTTGTTGGATGCACCATCTACCCTTGATGAGAGGTGTTTCTAGTGCTAGTCTACAATACAGTTAAGAACTGGAGCCCCTACAATTTATCCATGCTTGACAAGGTCTTCCCCACTCTAGTCAAAACGAACAATAATGGTTCAACTTTAAAAATACAGGCATTAAGCTTGTACATGTAACAATCTGTGAGAGGCATGTCTCCATGGCCTCTTTAACCCGAGTCATGGTGAATCCAACACCGTGATTAATATATACAACTCTTCAGTTGACATCACAACATCAGAGCACCTGTTCATGTCTTAGCTACAATGTCTGCAATTAAAGTGTTAAGTGCAAAGTTGAAGAAAAGAAGCTGTTTGTTTCAGCTGCTCCATTTCCAATAGTGTCTCTGTTGTCTCAGGCTAGGGGCGAATGAATTAGGGTCCTGTGTGATAATGTACTGCTAGAATAAAAAGAATGAGGTACAAGAATTTAGAAAGACAACTATGGTTGCACTTACAACTCATCTCTTAATTGTTTTTCTGTTGGACTGTAGTACAGTGCACACCAGGACCACAGTAAGCACCGAAATACCGTGACTGATTGTACTGCTTCTCTTTCCAGGTAGGCGGGAAAGACATTTCAGATCCGACACCCATAAGGAATCAAAAATGTAAACGTTCTACATAAATAAAGTCAGTCTGTCAGTAATGAGCTCAACATACAGTAGAAATAGCTGGCCTTAGAAAAATATAGTGATTTTTTTTTCAACAGTTCTTAGAGAGTTTACAGGGTGCTGAGGTCGAGAAGAGAGGTATGTCGGTGGGATCGGGTGTGCCTGTGAGGGGACGGGCTGATCGGGGGGCGGATAGAAGACGGGAAGCCCCCACAATGACAGAGTATCCTTAGTGAATGTTGAAATTTCTGAAGAAGTCAAAGGTTGCACCCAGGGCCCAGCTTGTCTCCACGTTGTTCACCTTCTTGGATAGCTGTTGAACAAAGTAACAGGAGATTCTCCATCAAAACCACAAAATGTCCTACACATACTGTCATGTATATTTTTACAGAACATGTTCAAGTCCTGTGAAGCACTGTACAGACAAAATGTAAAGGTTTTGTCATGCAGATTTTCACAGTTTGTATCTCTTTGACTCTCAATATCCACTGTGTCTGATTGGCTCACCTGCAACACAGTGCTGTCCTTGAAGCCAAAGCCCTCCTTTAGCAGACAAGTGATATATGTCATATCCATGCAGAGGAAGGGGCTGATAGCACGGTATTTGGTCATTTTGTTGCACACTGCAAACACAAAAGGCCACAGGTTTCAGGCATGACATTAAGACGTTCCACATACCACTGACAAAAAAAAAAAAAATCTCTTGTTACATCATATAATAGTCACGTTCCATGTATAAGCCAAAAAAAACTACTTTTCTAACTCATGTGCTACATGATTAAAAGATGACCTTTCTGTTTTGTTTGGCTGAATAAACAGATAGGTGCGAGGAGAATCGTTGAGGGTCAGCACAAGGCTGTGAGTGGGTGGTGGTGTTAAACAACCTAGTACACACTGTGTGTGTGTTTCAGTATGAGTCAGCCCCCAGGTGGTGTGTGGCTGTCAGGTGCCCTCCTGCCTGCCAGACAGACATCTTCAGCTCATCTGCCAGCCCAGCCTGAGCCAGACTTGTTCCTCCAGACCATGTGACAGTGTTCTCAACACAAACAGTCTTACATAACACACCAACTCATTTCTACATACTTGTTATAAATCTGGTTCTACACTGACACTACAAGTGTCGCAAATTTGAGCACGATGCGTTTTGGTTAAACATACTAAAACATTCTGTTGTGATGTTAACATATATTTATTCTATAATAAACTGCAGTTGTCTTATAATCCTTATTTGCTAACACATTTTATATATAATCAGTTTTATTTTCCTGTTGTGATAAATTCTGGTTTGACAGGAAAAGCTGTGCCAATTTGGTGCAATTGTGCCAAATGTTTGGGCACAAACAGGGTCTAGTGCTTCTGTAGTGTTTTTTTCCTGAAGTTTCAGTGGTTAGGAGACTGATATATATATATAATTAGTAAGATTGATGGTTTCAGGTTCATCCAACCCTAGAGAAGATAACATGTAACTCTTACCTTCCTTGGCTTTCTTCTTAAAATCCCTAACTTCAACCGTACCACCCCGACTGCCATCTGTGCAGAAAAAACAAACATGCAATTTGAATAGCTATTTTGTGCAGAAGATGATCATTATCACGAAAGATTATGGCGCTGGAAGGTGACTCTTTGGTCTTTGCCCACTCACCGATGAGGCCAGTCTCCACTGCTCTGTCAAAGTAGTAGGAGAAAGCGTAGAAGATGCTGCTGCCCTTTACTTCATAAGGCTGGTGCACGATTCCTTTGACTACCTTCATCACCTCATAGTAGCACAGCTTATAGCCTGCATAGCCTGAAAAAAAGACAAGGTAGAGGACGTAGTTTTATTGAATAAGAATAATTTAACTAAATAATGTGGAGTAAAAAGTACATTGATACAGCAGTGGCTGGATTGCAATCAGGAGAGTTTATAGGTCAGCCAGGGGTTGAAGCTATGGGCTCACCATATAATATACAAGGGAAGCCCCAGCTGGACAAGTTTCAGACAGCCTGCGGGTATGGTTGGCTCAAGTGTGCCGGCAAAACCATGTGCTGACAAGAGCAGCAGTCAGTGCAGCCCAGTTGGGCTGACTATTTTTACCACATAATTGTGAGCAGTCTAGATCAAGCTGCTCCTTACACACACACACAAACAACTCAGGGACAAGCCCAGCATCTTCTGGCTACTGGAATGTGGTATGAGACTGACTGCCTTATTTGTGAAGTTAACTGACAGTTTTCATTTAAATACAAGGTTGGCTGTGGTATAAGTGTTCAAGAGGGAAGAGAGAAAGAGAGGATGACAAAACATGCGTTTGGCGCCAAGGTTACACAAACTTTAGTTAAATGTTCTCATGTGAAACTGCATTGTACTGCACTCCATTGTGTTCCAGAGAAAAGAAAGGAATGCATGGATTGCCGGGATCCAAGGCGCTGGGAAGGCAATCAAAACCTCAGAGTGCTTTGTTCTTACCATCTGGAATCCCGCTAACTTTGTAGGTGGTTCCTCCAAAAGCCACATCTTCTCTGAACTTTTTCGGCAGGCAAGAACTTGTGAAGACTCTCCAATCTAGGCCTGGGAAAACAAAAACAGTTGGTCATATGTCAAATGATTCCACATTCATGAAAGAATAATATAAGTGCAAACAGAAAGATGATAAAGGGTGCTACTCTACCGTCAGCTCCTAGTGCTCCGAGAGTCGCCAGTCGAGCTGCAAACAGTCCATTTCCAAGGTAGCTATATGATAATGATACACAATTATGGTAAGTTTTTACATAGATGTGTATGGTTGCACTTTTAAGTAGGATTTAATGGGCAAAACCATATCCAAAGAGAATGTAGCATCTTCTTTGTCTGTTATTTACCTGTGTGTGTAGAGCTGATATGTATTGTTGAACAGGTTGAAGCTAGCAATGTAAGTGGAGGGAGCAGACTCAATGGTTTTCTGTTGGATAAATCATACATGGTTAGTTGTGTATTTTTTAGGAGATGCCTTTTTCAATATAAATAGTAAACATATCAAATGCTTTTTAAAAAGATTACCCTTGACTTAGGAAGAAATGTGATCTGTGTAGATCCTCCACCCAAATCCAGGATCCCCACTGTCCTCTTTGTGTTGGAGTACAAGTGACCTTTGGCAAAAAAGTAGAAAGTTGAAAACATCTTAATTATGCTAAGGTGTTATCACTGATCTGTGCAGCAGTGCTATGTTGTGTACTTTTGGCCAGTTTTCATTGGGGTTTCCTTTTACATGTCGGTGCCAGCTAGGAGGTAAAATACCTTTTTGGTTTGAAGCTTAAGGCTGTTGTTTAAAATCATTTTGGTGGTACCATGGCTGAGTGAAAAACAAGGGGAAACATTACATGTTTTTGCAACCTGATTGTGGCCAGTGATTCAAGCTCATAACCTCAGACAGGAGACAAGAGTCTTTCACTGTCAGGCTCCTGTGCACACTGGAGCCTCAGATATGAGATTCCTGACCACTAACACCACCATAGTAAAACACAAGCAATGTCTTACCTGTAAGGAAGTTCACTGTGACCCACGCAAGGACTCCTAGAACAGCACATGGGTGACAATGTCTGCATTATTTAAAAGAACCTGAGGAGGGATGCTAAATTTTCCCTGTCAGATATGTTCAAGCACACATGAGTCCTGTTCTCCTTCATTAGGCTGATATTTAAGTTGTGCAACTGGTTTAACTAACATGTAGGATTGCAGGTAATTACAACTGTCTCAGGTGGTAAGTTATTGCACTCATAAAGTGAGGACACTGTGTGATGAGACATAACATAATGGGCGTGGGGCAGCAACTCACAATGACATATTTATTTGTCTCAATGAGGCAGTAAAAAGAATTGTGAGAACAGTATTGTTTGATATATCCTTAGTGAATGAGGCAACCCGGTTAGACAATCTTTCAGTCAAAAACCACCAAAAATGTGTTAAAGAAAATAGAAAATCTTTTTGTGTATTATAACCTACCTTCGTTTTTTCCATTCATGATGGAAACGCTGTTGTTTGGCACGTAGAAAGGGGATTCATCAAATACCTCTTGCACCTGTAGAACACAGGTATCAGCATTTCATTAGAATCCTCAGCTGCCTGTGTGTTAAAACAATCAGTTTGTAATAAACTACACAGCCAAATACTCTGCTGTTGCTGGGATGATGTCTGCTTAAGCTTTAGAAGACAAACTGTGCCTGTTCTGTTTTAGAGTGACAGATAACTCGACCACAAGCACGGCTGGAACAGTAGCCTGAATTTAATACTTCAAATGACAAATTGCGTTACTCCACACAACCCCACAACAGCTGTTTTTTATAAGCCACCAAATGGGAAGACTTGTTGCCTTTTTTTTTCAGTGACACTTGTAAGCACTTAGTGGTTTCTCATCCCATTCCTTAGCGTGACGAGTGGTGTTTGTACCCAATTGTCTGAGGGCAAGAGAGAAAATGTGCTTTACCTCCTTCAGAAGAGCACTGGCCTTGTCTGAAGGCAACAGACGCAGACCTGCCGTGGCCTTCAGGACCACCGGGGTCCTCCTCCAATCCTCCTCTGGCACCGTCTTTTTGACAATCTTCAGCAACTGTCGGATGGTGTCGCCACCCTACAAAAGTGATGGCAACAGGTACAGCCACCAGTATTAACATTTATGGCCAATCACAGAACAAAAAGAAAGTCACGTATTTTATAATCAAACTAGGCAATGTACAGTATTTAAGGTTAAAAGTCTTGCCGAAGTCGAAGGTTGGTAACTATAACAGACAGGAGTGGGCAGCAGTGACAGCATCAGCAGGAGGCATTTTTATAATTACACAGTGTTTGCATCACTTAAACCCAAGCCAGAGAAAACCCCAGTGGTTTGGTGGTTTGCGGACAGTGAACTACTCCCTAATATACCTGATAATTAATAATAAGTGATGGGTTGAACATGCATACATACATACCTCTTCAGGGTTGTCCTTATAAGCAGACAATCCAGGCTTCACTGCATGGTATATTTCATTGTCCAGAACTGGCAGCTCAACTAAAAAAGTGGACACATCATAAATCAGAGAGCTAACTATAATATTTGTGGAGATAAAACATTTAAAAAATACTTCAATATACTGTATGTAATTGCATATATTTTCTTTTCAACTGCATTCTGCTTCAGATGTAGAGACCTGCATCCTACGCAGCTGCGTCAGACAAATTAAAACTCTGCTTCAGCTACTTTTAGAAGCTGCACTGCCCATGCACTCTGCCGGTGCATGTTTGTCCTTACACCACACAGTGAATGACCTAACAGCAAGCCGGCAGAGTGGGAGCCAGCAGCCTGTGCTTAAGCCCTACTATTAGTTTAGAGAAAGAGAGAGGTGAACCTCTGCACGTACCAGGGTCTTTCTGGATGAACTTATAGATGTGGATCCTGGTGCCTGTGCTCCCAGCGTCAAACATGACCCCATAGAAAACCCGAATGATGTTGACAGGGGAGGAGGCTTCAGGTACCGGCTGGTAAACAACAGGTGGGTGGTAAGGCTCGGGTGCAGGATGCACGACTTCAGGCAAAGTCTCTAGTATGGGGTGGATGACTTCAGGTGCCGGGTGGAAGACCTCGGGGATTTCCGGGGAGGTAGGCACGCCGGGCTGTGGGGCTCGTGGCACTGGATTGGAGACCTCAGGGAGGTGGTTGTCCGTGTTGGCGGTGTGCTCCCGGTAGCGGATATAGTGGGGCATGTAGCGGTGGTACCGGTAATAGGTCGCCTCAGCTATGAGGCTCGCAGCCAGAAGCCACACTGACAAAGTGAGGAGCCGGCTTGGTGTGGCCATTGTTGTCACAACCGGAGAGAAGAGGCAGCTGGAGCAAAAAAGGACAGCTGTGAAGAAGCAGCCCTGGAGGATGCTGGAGCAGAAGACTGGAGAGGCCCCAGAGAGAGCAGTGGAGATGGAGAGAGGCAGATGGGGCGCAATGCACACTCAGGACCGTCAGGTCATCAGTTTACAGTATATAAAGACATGAGGGCTTGGCACGGAGCCACACTGACAGATGCCATCCACCAATCCTGTGGCGGTACATCCCGACTTCACCAGGAGTTCCCCCATCCCCCCACCCTCCTCATAAGAGATGAGTGAAGACTGACTACCTGCCTCCCATAAACACTTCCTTTTTTTAAGAACAGGATTATTTTTGTCTCTTGCCCTCTCCTCATCTATACTGGTTATTCTGGTGCCAAAAATCCCCTTTTGGAAAGGAGAAACCGGTTGAAGAAGCTCAAAAGAAATTGTCTTTAACTACTTTTTATTGGTGCATTTAAGACTTACATAGTAAGCTACCTCAGAAATTCCTTCACCCAGCAGCTCTTTGGACTTTCACAAATTTACAAGTGCTGAAATTTGGCTACAGCCTAAATTAGTTGTGATGTAAGTTACTGCTAAATGCACATCTGTAAAGTTCAGACATTTTTTTTTTGAATGAATGAATCATGATGTAAAGTTGTTAAGTCTTGCTTTATTTAAATTCTTCAGGGCCCTGTTGGGAAGGACATAATCAAAGAAACTCCAAAAGAATGTTCTATTTTATACAACTCTATTTGAGAATGTCACTCAATAAAGATAAAATTGATTATTTTATTATCGACCACTACCTCTACTAAATCATGTTCAGTAGTGCAAGTGAGTTAGGCTTATAATAAAGAAATCCATTCAACATTGTCTTAATTATCCTACAATAATCACTCCATTAAATCCACTCTAGCAGTTTCACCGATCTTAAAAATGTAAATGTGACAGGCACTCCAGCTGGCATAAAAGTATGTTGGTAATCATCTCACTCCCACTCATCCCCATGTTAACCACAGGCTTTTCAGGGGAAAAATATTTGGGCAGCAAGGCACGTTTCACGAGAGAATGCATGAAAAGCATTGGTGTCTCTTTCTGTGCTTTAGGTGGGCGGTGTATCAGTTAATGCTTTCTCATGTAACGCTCAGAGTTGCTGGCTTTGGCTGCAGGGTGCAGAGGCTTTCGGATATCCCACAGCAGTGGAGCACAGGCGTACATCAGCTCAGAGACCTTACATGAACTTAGATTGGTACCGGGCTGTGATATTTTTCACCCACTTTGTATCAACAGAAAGAAGACAGAGATCTGAAACAGGAACGTCTGGTAGTCTGAGGCATGCCTGCAGAAGTGACCCTGTCCCAACCCTGACTTAGCGTGTGTTGATATGAGCCTGTTTCACCTCACACAGCGGGCGACTGAGGCAGAAACTGAGCTGCCGACTAGCTCAGCCAAGGGTTAAGGGAGGACAGAGGTCCTGCAGATGGGCACAAGAGAGCACAGGAAGTCCACAGAGAGGACAGTGTGGGGAGGGGTGGGGCTTGGCACCGGTGTTCATCCATCATGCCATTCCACTCCCAGGACACTTGACTGTGCAAAGCACTGTTCCAACACTGTAATTTGAACTAAAAATATTGGGCTTTCTTTCCTCCTTCCTTTTTTCTAAATATTGTGGCTACCTTTTTCAATCTTGCGGCACACCAGAATGACCGTTCACCCCTATCAAAGCATCCATGTGCAGGACTTCTCACTGACTTCTGCCCATAGCTGCATGTTAACAGTACAATATGATAATGTGATGAATAAAACCTGAATACAAATGTCCTATCAGAAACATTAGTCATGTTTTGTCTGGGGTGTGTGTTCATTTTGTAATTACTTTGTTATTTTCTTACTAATAATGTTCAGACACATCCTGTGGTTAATGTAGTAATTATTATAGATCATGTTCAGTGTTTGGACAGCTTCAATCCACCTTAGGAAATTTGGCACATGAATCATATTTTAGTGGTAAACCAGCACCTGTTTTATTTTGCCATTATAATGTGATGCCATATGTTTTCCAAGTAAAATATCATGTGAATTTCGATTCACTCTAGATAACATACAATAAATGGAAATGGAAAATCTGCTGGATCATGTTGAAATGTCATCTGCACATGCAGTGCTACTGTTTAAAGTGTATTTAAAGTGTTACTCTACAAAATGACACAGCACATTACAAACAATGTTTTAAACAAGAAGTGTATGTTCAATACAATGCCTGGTATTTTGTTTCAAGATAAGTGTAACCATAAAGCTTGAGAAGGGTCCCCAGCTTTGTAATCCACACTGTGCAATATATCATTAATATGCTACAATGTTACCCTCAGGAATGTCATGTTTGTGGGTGTCCTACCCCAAAAAGTCCATTGAGGAAACCTTGTCATTACAATTCCAATGATAATGACAGCTTTGAAAAGCTCAGGGTTATTTCGGTTTTCTCTCCTTACTGTCATAGTAATTACCTTTAAATTTAGTCTTCAAACTCTGTTCAAGATGCCAGGGCAGAGAACAACCCTATACAATTGAGTTTACAGTAGCTACACCCAGCACTTGTGATATCTACTTTTTTGGTTTAATGAATCGTCTGCATTGGACATCCTCAGGCTCCTGCAGAAGCTTGAACAAGATGATGGACAGAGCCCAGTGGTTTTGAGCTTGACTTGTGACCCATGCTAACTTTATTGTTTCTGTTGGATGAGCTTCCTCAAAGATGTATGCCAAATGCATTCATGTTGATCTTAGTGGTTTTCCCATAACTCCAGCAAAAAACAGCTGTGGGGATGGCAGTGAGTAACACATAGTTCTTTTCAGGATAACATGGACAATACTGCAGACAGAAGCCAAATGTTTTTTCATGTCATCATGTGGGAGGAGATCATGTGCAAACTGATCTTATTTGATAGCTCCCAGTGCGAGAAGGCTGTAATTACAAGGCAAGACAAATACAGAGATTCTGTGTCAATCCAGAAGTTGTTGCGCAGAACGGACATCTGGTTCTTATAATCTCCCACAGTAAGTGGTTATTTGAACCAAGAGTTGAACAAGCGATAGCTACAACTTGAGAAATAAATGCTAATAAGAAAAAGAGAATTGTTTAAGACAGTGCCATTGAACTGGTAGCAACATTTCAGATAAACTTGAGAAACATGTGAGTCCATGTGAGTTTATTAATCAATTAGCAGACTGACAGAAAATAAACTGCAGGTAATATTAAGGAGTGGTTAATCATTAACTGACATCAAAATGTCAAACATTTCCTGGTTCTGGCTTCTCAGCTGTAAGGATATGCTGTTTTGTCTGTGTTTGACATAAAAATTGAAACTTGGGTTTTGAATTCTTGATTGGATATTGCCTCGCACTCTGTAAATTTGTGAGGGAATTTCCACTGTTTTCTTTTTGGACTAAACAGCTTATAAATCACTAAATAATCATGAGATGAATCAAGCATTGTTAGTGTCAGTTCATGGACACAACTCAGAACGGAGGATCCATATTCAGAGACTGGAGACCAGTTAAGCTGGAAGGCTCAGGTCGGTGGAGTCTGGACCACAGAATCTCCGGGTATTCCAACTTCCTCCCACAGTACAAAGGCATACAAAGTTGACTGGTGACCCTAAATTGTCTGTAGGAGTGAGTATGGAGTGTGTGTGTGGTTGGCTGTCTATGTGTCAGCCCTGTGATAGACTGGTGACCTGTCCAGAGTGTACTCCGCCTCTCGCCCAATGTCAGATGGACCCTGTTCAGGATAAGCAGTATAGATAATGGATAGATCTATTAATCTGCCAGTTATTTCCTCAGTTACTCAATTAATTGCTTGGCCCAAAAATATCAGAAAACTATATGGAAGGAATAAGAGGAAGAATTCACTGTGTACACTGGGGGTCAGGAGGGGCCCAGGAACAAATATCTTGCTCTGGGGCTCCCTAAGAAGTTATTCTATTCACATATCCATCTATCTAAATATACTGTGCTGAGAGGGGTCTAGTGGCCCACCTGTAAGAAAGTAATGAAAGTGTCATGTACTTTCTCTGTCATATATTCAATAATAAAAACTGTGCCTAAGTGAAATTCAATCTTCCTAGGGAATGCATTTCTAAATGCATATGTTAAAATGCTATTTTTCAATAAATAAACATGCATTTTAAACATAAAAATGACCAAATACCACAGTAGTTTTCATACTATACCTTGAGGCTGTGGTGATTAAATATACAATAGGTCTACTTGGATTGCAGCAGACAATTGACCTGCTGCAGCGTCTCCATGGCAATAACAATAAACATTCACAACCGGCTAGGAGCTTGCTATCATTACCGCTAGTCAAGCACTAGCTCTACAGGTTTGTTTTCTGTTGTATTTTAGCTATTTTCTGTAGTATTTCAGCCAACAAAAGTAGTAGTGATGAAGAAGAAGAAAGTCGCTAAAGGAAAGAAAGCGAAGCCCGGGTAAGTGACTACATTTGTACACCTTTTTGCTGCATTGACTTCACTGCAGCAAAAACGTCAAACCAAATGTTACTTTTGTCACAGGAAAGGAAAGCTGAAAAGCAAACAGGGGCCAAAAGCGGACAAAGAGCTGGAGGTCGAAAAGGCCAAAGCCAACGCTGCCCTCTGGGACCTGAGGTTACAAGTCACCGACAAGTCTCTCGTGCAGTACCGCGAGGTTTGTCGCAAATTGGCACGCGCCAATGATGAACTCACTAATCAACTGTACCGCGCGGAGAAAGACGCCATCGATATAACAGACTATTTGAAGAGAGAAGATGCAGCGAAAGAGAAGAAGGTCGAGAAGTAACATTACTATGTGTTTATGTGTACCTCGAGTGATGACCTCGATCGTTTTTTAAACATTCTGTCATTTTAATAGATCAATATGCTGCAGCAAACCCTCAAAAGTCAAGAGGCACTAGCACACGAGGAGCAAAACAAACTGGTGAGTTCGTTTAAGACACAGCCACGAGAGAAGTGCCTCTCGAGCTTCCATTTAGCCCGCAATACAAGCGCAAGCTAGCATATTGACAAAATAAAAGGTGTGAACCGGAAATCATGCAGTTACCGTGCATAAAGTACAGCGTAGAAACCGGTCAAACAGGCACAGGAAAACAGTTTTTAGTTGAGACTTGAAAGTGTTAGAGTTGTGGCACATTTAAGGTCATCGTAGAGTATAAAATCTAACAGCAGCTTCACTCTGTTTGGTTCTGACCCAAGGTTCTACCAGCAGACTGCTTCCTAAAGATCTCAAAGCCCTGTTGGGTTTGTATTCTTCAGGGAGATCAGAAATGTTATCATTGACTGACCACTACTCTTTCTAGTCAAGATCAAACTATCAAATTGAAATGACAAAATTTAAGTGGCTTTACTAGACACCCCCACCCCAAAAGTAGAAAAAGCTTTTACTTTTTTGCCAGCAGCTGTTTTCCATCTCCCAGCCCTTACTTCATGCTAGTCAAATTGAGTCCAAAAAGCTTCTGAGGAGGAAATAAAGAGGCATGGTCTGGACCAACTTGAAACATCCCTATTTTAGACATGTATGGAAATGTCACATATGTTCATTTGGTAAAAAAAAATAAAAATGCTGTGGTATGACTGACTCTAAAGATGTGATTTCAAGACATTTTATTCACAGTCCTTTTTCTCATTGTGAAGTGATAAAATGGTTCATTGTGCAAATTGACTTAGCTAATGGAAACTACTCCACCAAAGGCACTAAAGGGAAGCAAATGCCCTCACTTTTGTCTTAAGGAGAGACATAATGAAACTGTTGAGAAATTGAGTCATCCAAATAATTATAGTATAAAGACTTCTTCAGCTGCAGTTACTGCACAAGAATGCTTGCAACACTACCCAACTTTAACATGGTAAACATTTTTAAAGGTGATTATTAGATCACAGAGACTGAAAATTGCATATGATGCAAACCAGCTTGTGTAAATACTGTAGATTGGTGCATCAGTATATAGACGGGTGACAAATGAAAGCAAAAAGCAACATAAAGTGTCTCCATAAGGTGTCGGGCTGCCAGAACAGCTTCAGTCCATCTCAGCATTGATTCTACAAATCTCTGAACTCTGTTGGAGGGATGAACACATTCTTCCAAAAGATATTCCCTCGTCTGCTGTTTCGATAATGGTGGTAGAGAGCACTGTCTAACACATCAGTCCAAATTCTCTCATAGGTGTTCAACTGGGTTGTGATCTGATGATTCTGGAGACCATAGCATACAAGTCGCCTCAGTTTCATCCTCAACAAACTATTCAGTGGCCTCTTGTGCCCTATGGATGACGGCATTGTCATCCTGGAGGAGACCACTCATTCATCCGGGGTTTTCCTTTAATTCGTCAGCTGTCTGCAGATCAGCATACACAGAGTTAATTGAAAAGTAACGATTAGACCTAAACTTGTAATCAGATTGTTGATAACCCCTTATTTAGTTGTCATGTACATGTTGGTGGGTGTGTGTTTTGCTACTCTCTCATGACTTTGGTCACTTTTTTTGCCCAGACTGGCTTTTCCACAGTAGCATCTTGAGGTATTTAGCTTGACTGATCCTGTGCTTAAGTCGGTTTGCAAACGAGTACGGCCTGTGTGAACTTGGGGACAAAAATCTTCTTCCCTAGCTAATGCAAACCGCACTTAGGGGAATTTTATGGGAATTTTGCAGCAGCAGAATAGAAGCGGAATTTTGCAGAATACTGTAGGTATTCAGATGCATTTTAAGGCATGCATTTAATATGCAGAATGTTGTTTGTCTAAAGTTATGATTGGTTTCAACAGGTCGAAGATTACACACTTCAAATTAATGAGATGAAGGAGCTGTTCAGAAAGAAGTCCAGTGATTTTAACATGATCCAGGATGGAATGAGAAAAATGAAGGAGTTTGAGAAGAAGAAAATCCAGATGGAGCAGGAGCTCAGTGATGTAAGAAGAAACACACGATGAAATGCTTCTTGTGTCAGGGTGTTAAAATGCTACCAGTAACTATGACCTCTTTATTTTGTAGATGAGAGAAAGCATGGATATTGCTGCCAAGGAGCATAGGGAAAACCTAAACAAGATGGAGTATAAATTCTTCAAAGAAAAGGTATCAAGTCTAAAAGCATCACCTAAACTATTCCTCCAGTGTGGAAGAAAATGGCAAATGTGACATTATTGTGGGGAAAACAGATTTGAAAATGTATCAGTTGTAAAGATCTGGCCTTCTGTCAGTGAACCATGGATGAGAGATGGGGATTAAAATAGCTAACCTAGTAGCTGATACTGTAAATCTCCCTGCAGGCTTGCCTGGAGAGGGAAGCTGAGCAAATGATAGCGCTGGTGGAGCAGAGGGCCCACAATGAAGCCATTGTGTGAGTGTGTTTCTGCTGTATCTTCACAATGTAATTTTGGTCTATAAATTGCACTTTCAAAGAAAAAATAATTTACTCTCGCAGCCATTTATGTATAGTATATAAATATATACAATTACAACTAATGTTCTTTTCTTGACCACGCTGGTTCTTCATGTTCACGATAGTAAGCCAATGATCACATTCTCAGCCTACACACTTCTCCTGTAGGGAGATGTGTGGAACACCATAGTTTATTTCTTTTTAGGCCCTTGGGATGTGTATTTGACCTCTGCTCTGTTTAGTTATTTTCTACAGCTCATAAAACATCAACATTGATACTGGTGTGGTCCTGCCGGTTTGGTCTTACTGTCAGCAATTGAATTAATTTTGAACACACTGAGGCTGTCTTTAAATCCCAAGTACAATGGCCCAGTTAATTCACTTTTTAGTGTAAGAACCAAGAAACTAAAAGAGGTGTGTCATATGCTCTCCTCACAGTCAAAGCCTTGACCACCTTGACTAATAAACAATCTTAAAATATTTCATAAAGCATTTTTGTTTGACTAGGAACAATTTGTGCAGGTTAAATAAATCTGAAGTCCCTACAGTGCTGTCAGTCAGAAAATTAAGATTCATAAGGACATGTTTATAATTAAACATTTCTCAGTGGTTCATGTGTTTGCACTGTAAACTGTTTAGGCAGCTGGACGATGCCTCACACTCAGTGTTCAAGGAGAATGTTCGTCTCACTGAAGCTCTGAAATATCACATAAAGGAGGCAGAAGACCTGCAGAAATTGTCAAACACTCTGGAAAAGGAAAATGCCTCACTGGCCCTGGACAAGGTATGTTCGAGCAGTAGGATAGCAAACAGCAGTGTTAATCTGAGGCACCGGGTGTCCTTGGAAAGAGACCACTCATCTCTATAAAGTCATTTTCAGTCATTTCAGCTATAAACACTTGTCATATCTGTGCAGAATATATTTCAGGTGGTTTTTCCCCCTGTGGTGTTTACTTGTGCTGACCTTGTGTATTTTGCTTGTGGTCCCTCTTATACCCCCCCCACCCTTGACTACTACTCATCCTCTCAGTGGTCAGTGGTTGTGGTGAGTTTCCACTGGTGTATGGGTTCAAATTCAGTGGCTTCACCTTCACAGGTTTCTGGCCCTGATTTTGTTTGAGACAAATAAATGATGTGCACATTAATCTTACCTTTGCTGACAGTTAATCAAGGGAGTAAATCCACCTTGTTGAAGTTTTGGTCACTCAGCAGCACAGGCTACCACACAAATCATTATCTGTTCTAGCTCTGTTTTGGTATGAAAATGAAAGCATGTTCTAAAGGTAGCTCAACATCGTCCACTTCACCACTGTACTCTTCTTTCTGCTCACCCAGAGCATGTTTGAGTTGCTGGTAAAGAAGAATGCAGCTGACATGGAGGCCCAAAAAGATGAGATATCTAAACTGAGGACCAAGGTGGCTACTCTGGAGCAGGCCTTAGACCTAAAAGCTGGGAAACCTGAGCAAGAGGAAAAAAAGAAGGAGAAGATGCTGGTTAGAACCCAGGCCAGCCAGGTGGAGCTGCAGAAGCTGCAGAGGGTCCTTGCCATGCGGGAGAGGGAATTGGGGCACCTCAAGCGGCTAGCGGGCACCATTGTAGAGCAGCGCACAGAGCTGGAGCAGTTCTTCCATGAGGCACTGGCTCAGGTGAAGCAGGAGATCATGGCCAGTAGGCTGCAATACAAAACAGAGGCACTAAAGGCTTATCACTGCAGGCTGAGAGAAGCCACAGCAGGGAGGTTAAAGTTCCCACCCATCCGCACTTTCCATAAAAGCCCCCACAGCACCAACTCTGTCTATTCAGATATGGATGCAGCTGCGATGTGGTAGGTCCACTTCCCATCATCTTCGTGACTTGTACTGCTGTGTACGTCTTTGTGATAGTTTTAAAACACATTTTTATGTTTTTGTTAAGCAAGATGGTGAGTCAAGATGTTTGTTTACAACACAACAGGCAGTATGTTTGCAACCATTTGAATGAGCATCAGAGGGTCCACAGTATCTTTGAACTGGTCCTTTCTCAGAACCCAGTCTGGTGCGAATTACAACACAAAACCTAGGACATGAACAGGACAGGACATGGACAATAAAACAATGGTTAATAGGTGAAACAGAGGAATATAAGCAAGTATATAATGAGAGGACAGGTCGTGTGCAGGTGTGGTGTGTGTGTGTGCTTCCAGTTTAAGGTGGAGGAAGGGGGGTGGGGCAGGCAGAGAGTAATGATTTAGTGATTTTGTTCACTTTCCACTGTCGGAGTTGGAGCATTGCTCACAGAAAGAAGGTTCAGGGTTTGAGCTCCGTCCAGCCTGGTGCCTTTCTATGCGAAGTTTGCATGGTCTCCTAAATTGGCGATGTGAGTGTGTGTGGTTGTCTATGTGATAGACTGGCAACCTGTCCAGGGTGTACCCCGCCTCTCCCTCAGTGTCACCTGGGATAAGGGGTATAGATAATGGATGGATAGAAACATTGTAACTGGTTGGAAGTTTGGCACTTGTAGGCAACTTTCTTTTTTGATATTGTGTTTGTCATTTTGGCTTTCTTGTTTTTCCATTAGAAGCGTGAAGTTAACGAATCAAGTGATTTAAATGATTTCTCTGTGAGTGCTGTGGTAAACATTGAATACAGTTAACTTGTGGAAGAAATTTTCATTTTAACTGTAGCAGTTTGGCCAGTGAGTAGGTGGTTGTTCTAGCAATTGAAATCATTTATCTTATTTAATAGAGGGGTGCAGTTGAGATTAAAAAGCTCTGACAGTCTGGGGGAAATATTGATACCTAAATATGTAATGTTGCCAGAGTGGAGTGAGAGGAGAGAGTCTTGAGCTGCGGAGTCCCAGGCGATGTTCAGTTATCTGCTTGATCAGTATGTTTTTTTGCATTCTCATTTGTTGTAATTTCATAACAGGAAGTATCTGAAGAGCTGGGCAGTGCGTGGTGGAGCGTAGCAGATCATAGTAGAGCACAGCCCTGGGTGATGTGTCTAGTGTTCTTATCCAGTGGATGGGTGACTCTCCACTATCAGATTTTGTAGATTCTGAATAGAAATGTCCAGTGCACTATGCTGAATGCTTTGTGTGTGTGTGAGTGTCTAATGATCTAAGTATGGCTTTGGTTTTTGTACCATGAGAGTAAGTTAAATAATCTACAGATCTTATCGGATTCATTGTTGTTATTTATGAAGCTTGTTTGATCTGATTTTAATTCCTCGAGTTTATTAACACCAAATCACATTTTGCTCATTCAGTGTTCATCTCGCTCTTCATGGTTTATCTTAATACAACCTATATATGTAAGTCAGTTTGTACAGTAGTACAGGTTAACATTCATTTTCATTCCATGCGCCTGTTTTTTAGGACACATCGACTAGGCAGCAAAGTTGAAATCTCAGATCTCACTTGGGAGCAGAAGGAACAAGTGCTCAGGCTTCTCTTTGCTAAAATGAATGGACAGAAGGAAAGGTAAAAAAACAAACCCAGTTTAATGTTTGTCAGCAAAGACTTGATGGTTGCTTGTTCACCACTTATTGATTTAATCTTAGGTAGTACGTGAAAGTCCATTCATACTCCCCTAAAATGTCTGCATCAGTTACCTCTTATAGACAAAATTCAGTAAACATGTAGTGACGCCTCCCTCTTTTTAATGTTTTAAACAGACATTTTCTTAGAGGATACCATAAAACATCAGCTAGGCTTCAACCAATTTTCTTTTCCATCCAGCTACTTAAAAAGAATGGGGGGGTAAAAAGAGAGTTTGGGCACAATAGTAAAAATAGGCCCAGCCACAGAGTCGTGTGCTTGGAAACAAACATCTGGTCATGTCAATTTGCTTTCAGCCTGTTGGCCCCTCATCACTACACTAGCAGTTTATTTTATTCTTTGAACACTTGCGGTCAGAAAGCAGCTGGTTACATAATTCTCAGAAAGGGTGTGCAGGAAATCTAGATGCAGGGGGGCATGGCAGGCGAGTGGAGATGTATATTAATGTTAACAGTGGTCTGGCACACAGTCAAGTAGACTAGCACAGAGCATTTGGTAATTCAGAGTTGGTGTCCAAGTCAATGTGCCTTGTGTTAACCTGGAGTAATCCCTTTTCAAGATAGACTGCAGCCCTTCATGAATAGACAAGCAATGCTAAAACATGGCTTTTCACTTAGGTTCTGTGTTTAACTGCAACTGTGTATGTTCCTGATAGGAAAACCAGCAGACATCTGGCTTTGTCTGCTTCCTCAGAGAAGCGCCTTATTGACAGTGATGCTGCTGGGTAAGATACTAAAGGAATGTATGAGAATAAATGTTATACTCCATCTTTTCAGTTGCAAAGCCTGTGCAGATATTTTTGGTCTTGCATTCCATGTTTATCTGAAAAAGAACCTGCTGTGAGAACATCAGTGCTTACATGTGATTTATCAAAACACTTGCTTTTTGGCATTGCATAATGATGACTGTCTTCCAGAATTAGAGAGGAGCTTTCCCCAGCAGCCTTCATCACCCAGGCGCCTGAGTCTGTTCTGCCCTCGATCCCAAACATCCTTCCAGATATACACATCGCATGACCTCTGTGTGGCCTCTACATTGCACATCATACTTTGGGTTTGTTTGCCTCTGTTTTGTCCTCTTCCCACAGAATGTCAGTCATGTGTTTACTAGAATACAATACGTTTGGCCTCATCAGAAATCTTACCATGCGGGTAAACTCACCAGCCACTTTATTGGGTACACTTGTATGCAATTCAATGCAACACTTCCACCTTAACATCTGTGTTTATGAAGCTCAAGATGTGTTTTTGGTAAAATTGTCATAACTGTGTTGATTATAATTGGTCATAGTTAAAGGTGATGTACTGGACTGCATTATATTCAGAGGTGCCTGTATTTTTGTTTTCCCCAGCTACATACATGAAGGTCAGAATATTAGGAATGCCTCTGAATATAATGTAGTCCAGTACAACATGACTGAATTTATACATTCATGACAATTTCACTAAAAACAAACATTTTGAGCTTTATAAACAGATGTTAAGGTGGAAGTGTTGTACAGGTGTACTTATTAAAATGGCCAGTGAGTGAGTACACATATGGCTTGTGATTCCTTGCTTTCAAACATTTAGCCTGTTTAAAGATCATTTCAATCAGTTAGGAAGTACTTTTTGACTATGGTCCAGGTAATATACAAAATCTGTAAATAATTGGATGGTGGGCCACGGGGGGGTGGGTACAATGCAGTGTGTCCATGGCAACCTTCATTCATGGAGATTATGCACACTCCACTCGAAGTAAGTACACAGGTTTTGATGCAAATTTTATTTGAGGAAATGACATTGCTCCAAACAAACATTGCTGAAGCTCAGTGGTTTACATTTTCAGAGCTTCTATACATGTTTAGTATTAAATCATTGAGGGGAGGGGAGTTCTATAATATACTTTAACTATTCACATTGAACTTAAGTCTGTTCTGTGCCCAAAAGAAGGGTTAATTATTGTAGGTGTTGTGGTTTATCTGACTGAAGAGCAGCACTCTAAGCCTTTAGCGGCCCATAGTGGGCATGGTAACTGCAGGGCTTTGCAAAGTAGCATCTTCAGCTTTCCATTGTGAAGTTACAGTTTTGAGTTGTGTGTAAAACTGGATGCCCTGGAGAGAAAAATAAAAACATTTACATCATTAACTGCCACGTTTTCCTTTATACCTGTAATAACAGGACACAGTAGTTTGCTTGGTACCTGTTTGCCGTAGAAGTTCACATCCCCTCTGAAGGATCCTCTTGAGCCCGTAAAGGAGAACATTGGCAGCGGCACAGGAATGGGAACATTGACTCCAACCTGCAGAAAACAAGTATTGTCCCTTTCATCTCCATAAATGTAAGTTTTGTAAAACAATTCCCCGAATTCCCAAATTGCTAGGATAAGTTAGATGCAGATGATGAGATGCTGTTTAAAAAAACAAGCGGACATGATCACATGGCTAAACTTGTGGCTTATATATTTGAAAGCGCAGCATGCTCTTATGAAAGGGAGGAAGAACTAAATAAACCATTTTGTTATGAAGGCAATAGTGGCATAGCATGCTTGGTTTAGAATGTTTGAAACAGCAAGAATAAGTTTGGACACTAAGACCTTTTGGCAAGGGAAAGAAAAAAAAAAGGAAAAGTAGATGTTTGTTGCACGGAGGTTTGGACAGGAGTACAGCACATGGCCTGCACAGCATTCCCCGACATGTGAACAGCAAACACAGGGCATAGCTAGGCTCCACAAGCAAACAGGGTAAAAAAAACTAGCCATATTTATGCTTAAACAGTGAACAGGACCCTAGGAATCCCTTCAGTTTAATTTTAAGATTTCCCCTCCTTGAACACTACCCGGAAAATTGTCTGTGTCCCCGTTTTCATTTAACAGACATATTTGTAGTAGCTATTTCTAGTCCTGCCTGGTGGAGGGAAGGGGGATGCCGAAGGTGTGTATTTTAAGTTAGAAGCAAACAAGGCTATACTTGACATGGAACATTATTTTTTTTGGGTATGTGAAGGTTTTCAGTCTGAAGTGTAATGTGCTCACTGTTGAGAGCTGCTGCATGGACATGACAGAGGGATGTTAATGTCTCCATTCTCCCAAAACAACGCTTTCAGAGGCTCTAGCATCTCACCTGGCCCACATCCACATCGTGAGTGTATTTGCGTGCAGTGGCGCCATTTGTGGTGAAGATAGCTGTACCATTGCCATAAGGGTTTCTGTTAACCAAACTGATGGCATCATCTAGAGTGTCTGCCTCAAGAACAACCAACACAGGACCAAAGATCTCTTCAGTGTAGCACTTCATCTCAGGCTGCGAAAGAACAAGGGTGAACACTTTCACTAGTAGTTCAGTTAATGGTACTCGGATCCAAATGTATATTAATGTGCACTTAAAGATATAAACCCACATACTGTGACATTGCTGAGGATGGTGGGACCCACAAAGTTGCCTTCCTCATAACCCTTGACCTTAACGTTTCGGCCATCCAGAAGCAACTTTGCTCCCTCATCCACCCCACTCTGAATCAGACTGCAGACTCTCTGCTTGGCCTGGGGAGAGATTAGAGGCCCCACATCTGCACCAGGCTGGTCTCCTAGCAGGACCCCAGAAACAACGAGCTGTAAGGTTACATGCTATGGCACTCATGTGATGTAAACATGCAAAAGCCACGATGGACATCATGAGACACTCCCTAAAAAATGGATACTTAGACAGGAAACCCCTACTACACAAATGAGTTATCACTGCAAACATGGAGATAAAAATTCTATTTTACTTCATATCACTTTCCTTTCTCAAAGACTTTGATGCTCTGAGTCGCTATTTAGGCCTGAGCCGCAGAATCTTGCCACAAATTTCCAGCATGGCTGACTCAACAAGCTCCCTCTCTCCCAGCTGACTCCAGTGTGAAGTTCCACCAGAGCAAAAAGGCGAGAGGTGTGGTTAGGGCGGCGTGGGTGGCCCCAAGATGACTAAACCAAAGGCCCTTGGGGGAACAGGAGTTTTAGGACAAACAGAGGTGAAGGGCAATGGCGAGCATACCTGCATTCACGCACAGACCCTTGGCACGTTCGACCAGCTCTGGCAGCCAGCTCCGTGCCTCACCCACCAAGATGGCTGTGGACAGAGCCATGCAGCGCTGTCCCGCTGCCCCGAACGCTGCACCCACAAGTTGGTTCAGAGTGTTCTCTTTGTTGGCATCAGGCATCACCACACCATGGTTCTTGGCTCCCTGCAGTACACTAGTAGTGGTTAGCTTTCTGTTTGATCTCCACATTACAGCAACTGTGAGAACATTATGTCAGGAAATTATAAACAAATGACCTACTACACATTTTAAATAATAAACCTATCCAAATTTTAGTCCATGTGACAGGATTAATAGACAAATTTTAAAAAAGTGAGGAGCAGCAACAATAGGGTCCAAAGTACAACAGCCTGTTAGCCAATGCTGCCACCTTCTGGACACTTATAGTAAGTCAGACATTATACTTGCACTGCATTATCATTTGACACTCACCATGTTTGACTGAACCCTCTTGCCATTTTTAGAGCCCCTCTCGTATATATACTCCCCGGCTCGGTTTGAGCCAACAAAGCTGATTGACCTGATGGCTGGATGGTCACAGATGAATTTCACAGCTGTGACAGACAAAAACTATTAGACATCTTTTAATCAGCCACAGTAATAAACAACCATAAACAACCAAAAGCTGTGTGAGACTGCATTACACACAATATCATGCAGTTAACCCAAGGTATAAAAAAAACTGTTAGGTTTCTGGTCTGTTCTGAAATAAAATAGAAAAATCATTAAGAAACGAAACTGGGTTTATACATGTCTCATTTTTGACAGTGACCAATGTACCCCCAAAATGTCACTGAATGTTTGTTTTAGTTTGATATGGGGCTGCAGCTAAGGCTTGTTATTATTGAATCTCCTGAAAGTTGTTTCACCTATAAAATGTCAAAAAATGGTAAAGATGGACAATTTGTCAGCTAAATCAACTTACTTTAGTCCAACTAACAATTCTAAACCTACGTGTATTCTGCTTATCTTAAAAAATCCACCAGAGTAGCTTTAACTTGGACTTTTGCTTTGATAATTGACTAGGAATTAATCAATTGTGAAATATTTGTATAGTGACTAATCAGTTCAGTGCTACTTGTGTTTGAAAGAAGGACACAGTGAACTGGACATATTTGATAAACGATTCACAGATTTAGGGGTTCATTTCAGAACCTGGGATTCTGTATGTCATGTTATTGAGCGGAGATGTCAAATCTCAATGTGGCTCATTAATATACAGTAGCATCTGAATACTTTGAAGCCACTGGATGTTCGTCAGATACACTACTTTGTACTTATACTTTAGGTGTAGAATAGATTCAGACACAAAATGGCAAATTCTGTTACCAGGCTAAAGTAACAGAACCAAACTCTTACCGTCATGTTGGCCGTGAATGACATTGAGCGTCCCATCTGGAGCACCAGCATCCTGCAGCAGCTTGGCCAACAGCATGGTGCAGGTTGGTACCCGCTCCGAAGGCTTCATCAGGTAGGTGTTGCCGCACACCATACCCATGGGGAACATCCACAGAGGGATCATGGCAGGGAAGTTGAAGGGGGCGATGCCGGCACACACCCCGAGGGGCAAGCGGTATGTATGGGTGTCCATGTCCTTGGTGATGGAGGGCAGGGTTTCCCCTAGCATCAGAAAGGTAATGCTGCAGGCATGCTCCACAACCTCTGCCAAAAAAAAAAGTGGTAAACAAGTTAATTTGGTTTGTATTTTGCAGTTGTCAAGCAATGAAAGAAGAATTTGATACCACTGTATTAATCCACATATTTCATACAAAAATGGCCAAAAAAAAAATGGAATAATGTTAACATTCTTCTTTAAAGATATTTCACCATTTTATCTTATCCTGTCAGAGAACTAGTACAACTCATTAACCATTCAGGCTGTGACAAACATTTGCATGTTGTGTAAGATTTCAATCTATTTGATGGCCTTTGTAACAGCATTTCTGTGCAAGTGTGAGTGAGAAACTTACGCAGTCCTCTGAACACATCCCCCTCTGCATCTGCAAGGGTCTTTCCCTGTTCCAGTGTGATGGCCTTGGCAAGTTCTTTCTGAAACACAAGCCAATCCTCATGAATCTTTTGTATTCAATTTCAGCTTTAATTTGAACTAATGTGCAAAAGTGTAAAAAGGTCAAATGTGACATGTTCAACTTTACAGAAGAGGATCTGGGCCACTGTACAAAAGTTATGAGTTCTGACTTTTTCTAAGAATTCTGACTGAGAAATAAGTCAGAATGCTTAGAAAAGAGTGAGAACTCAAATTCTGTACAGTGGCCCAGATCCTCTTCGATACAACTTAAATGCAACTGAACAAGTGTAATGAGTCTCCAGTAGCACCGTAACCCTTTGACTTACGATGTTGTCCTTGATAAGCTGCTGATAGCGCAGAAAAACCTGCTGCCGAGCCAAGATGGAGGTGTCAGACCACGACCGAAAGGCTTTGGAACACGAGTCCACAGCAGCCAACATCTCCGACTTGGTAGCTTTGGGTACACGTGCAATCACCTCATTGGTAGCCTGCAGAGAAGGGGAAAAAAAAAACAAAAGATGGCCATCAGGATGAGCCATTTTACAGCATTAATACTCTTCTTTTCAGGGGATGTTTTAGTCCAGTAAAAGTTAGATAAGTTAATCCTAGCAGATATACAACAAAGATGTGGGTTTTCATAAATGTGTAGTTCAGAGTTTATTAGAAACAAATGACACTGAATCTTTGATGATGTGCTGTTATGGATGTAAGAAATGTTTCTCTTTGACCAGTGAAGATTGATATTTTGCTATTATTTAACTTTGATTTGATTTATTTATTCTTTCAAGCATGTAAAGACAGTTGATATGTCAACACATAATTTTACACATATCCAACAAATGCTAATCCAATATCAATTTGCTTATACCTAGTACATGCTTGAATGGAGTAGGAAGAAGTCAGACTTATCCACTTAATTTTCATGTGACATTAACAGGTCACTTTGGACCTAACAACAAAGCAAAACACAATACCTGTAATAAAAGCTGTTCAACCACAGAAAAAAGTTCGTACAACAGGCACTCACATAAACATCATGTAACTGGTTAAGTAACTCCTCAGTTCCCTGCCATGAGCCATATTATCAGTATCAAACCACAGCAAAGATTCATGAAGGTGTTTTTTTTGTGATCCCACCTGGGGAAATACTTACAGGATTGTGAATATCCAGCCAATCTGAAGTACTGGATTCAACAAATTTGCCATCGATAAACAGTTTAGTGGTGGGCTGTGAGGAGAAATGTTAGTCAGCACATTTATGTATGACATACAATATAAACTACAGCAGCAGACAATTAAGTGTGCACTGTTTCAACTCACAACTGAGGAGGAGTAGCACATAGAGCCAGCTTTAAGTGGGACCTGAGAAAGAAACAGCATGGAATGTGAAATCATTCCAAAAGGCATAAGATTAGTCAGCAACTCCTAAGTGTGGCGTCATGAAAAGGCCTGAAGGTGACAAACTGGAGTGGACTGGAAGAAATGAATGCAGTCCAGCCAGTAAGTGAGAAGTTTTGCAACTACAATGTAACGTTATATGCAAACGCTCAGGCAGCCCAGCTGCTTTGCACTATAGGGATGTTGTACAGACTGCAAATAAAACTGCAACTATCAAATGTGATATCAGAAGTGAAACGACTTAATTTGAGAAATAAATCTCTCCGTAAAGCAATCCAGACCCAAATCCTACAGAACGACACCTTGTACTCTGTAAACAATGTGGCATGGTCAAACCTGCTTATTTGCAACTAAGGAGAATTTTAACGCTTGAACACTTTTACCTTTGACTTTAGCACTGATCTTAATACTGTTGACGCCATGGTGGAAACGTCCTAGGCCGACTCGATTTGGAAAAACGTCAGGTCAGACGGTGACCACCTGCCAGCAGAACAGCTCTCTGCAGCTTTGTCCTGCAGGAGGTGTACTTCCTGTGGGCGGGCTCTGAGGAAATCTAACGCCTGCTATTGGCTTCGTGTCTGCACTCCCATAAACAACGTGACATGATTGGTTCACTCTGGGTGTATTTTATCCAATCATTATTTTGGATTTTAGATCGTCCCGCCTTATCCTAGCTACTCAACTAGCTATTGGATGAAAGCATTGAACTAGCTTCATTTTGCCAGCTGGAAGTTATATAAGCAGTATCTGAATAGTTTATGACCGTGAGACGTGTTACATTCTCAACATCTAGCGTTACTCAGTTACTATATGGATATATATTATCCACATCATAGGGGACAAGAAGTGGGATTTTACTGTGAAATGTGCAGGACATAAATCGACGACTCTTTCAGCAAACAGTAGAGCTCATCTTAAACATAGCGTTAGGTGATACCGTCACAACAATGTCCTTAGCTAGCCTTGCCAAGGTACTGTAATAAAACTATTCGTTGCTTTCCAAGTGTGTGCGCGCACCAGGACTCTAATATGAAACATACGAAGCATAAATGTTGCATAGTCATAGGCCAAAGAGTAGGTAGGAGGGAGTGCAGGAGCACATCCCATTGGCTGCTGGAATGTGGTCAACTGCAGAAAAACTGCTTGCAATAGATGATTGAGTCTAGTTGAGTAAAATCTAAAACCAAAGAGACATGGCAACCCAAACTAAGGTGAACAAGTAGATGTGTGGAACGTAGGCTATAAGTATGTCAAGGGGAAGTGCAAAGTGCTTTCCACAGACTGACTGTGTTGTGTTTTGTTTCTGTTTAGCCAATTCTTCATGGATACTTCCGAAGCTCCTGCTCCTGGAGGGTTCGCATTGGTAAGGCATGCCACAGCATTTATTTGCTTAGCTGTTTAAACACTTTTAACATAATTATCTAACTTTTTGTGCACCAGCTTTTGCTCTTAAAGGTATCGAATATGACCAGGTTCCAGTCAATCTAATCCAAGACGGGGGTCAGCAGGTACAGAGATTCACAGGGTCCATATCATTGCAGAGATGACATGCTGTGCATTATCTAGGGTGGAGTCAGCTAAAATAGGCCAGTACCTAATTTTTATGTTTTTTATATTTACAAAAAAAGACGTTTTTTTTTTCTTCAATTTCAACTTTGAGTGTCAAAACATATTTCTTTGTTGGTAATTAGCTTATTAGTGATGAGTGACATTTGCTCTGCCATGCTCACTTGCCATGTAGTTTCTTTGAGAGACTTTAATCTAAACTCTGCCCTGTCCACATCAGCAAACTTAGAACAATCAAAACTCTTGATACTTGTCAAGTGGTGTTGTAGTTACAGTGTAAGGTCAGTCACTGTGACCGGTTATAAAGTTTTAAAGAGCTAATACACCAGAGTGTTATTTGGCCCATTTTAGCTGAATCCACCCTACAGTATATCTAATGCATTATAGCATGATACCATGTTATGTTATTGGCTATTAGTGAGACAAACGCTGTAAAAAAATCTCACAAAGGGTCTCTGTCCACTCAAGCACACAGAGCAGTTCAAAACATTAAACCCCATGCAACAAGTGCCTGCAGTGGAAATTGATGGCTTCACATTTTCGCAGTCAGTGAGTCTAAATACTCGTCTTTGTCATCTTACAAAACATTTTTTATGCAGGTAGCTTACTCTAATGAGAATTTCTTGCTCACACAGCTGGCAGTGATCCAGTACATCGATGAGACCAGACCCGGGCCTCGGCTCCTTCCAGCAGACTCAAAGAAACGCGCCCAGGTCCGAATGATAAGTGATCTCATTGCCTCTGGGATACAGCCTCTGCAGGTGAGAAGAGCACAGACTAAATGTTGTTTGCCTTAATGCTCCAATCATGGAGCACAAGCAGATGAGATGAAGACAGTCAGAGATGTATTGCTGTGTTTGTTCATAAAAGTCAAATGTTCAGATGTGGCTTGATAAAATAATAGAGCCATTGAATGTCATAACAAAGGGAACTTCACATTATTAATTCTTAATTGTTTCAGAATTTGCATGTAATCCAGAAGATAGGAGCAGACAAAGTGCACTGGGCGCAATATTTCATTGAACGTGGTTTTCAAGGTTGGTGGACACCTGTTTTCTTATCTGTACATTGTTACCATCACAAACATTTACAATATTACTTGTGCACACCTTTTGCTCTTTTCCAGCTCTTGAGCCGATTCTGAAGCAGACTGCAGGGAAATACTGTGTGGGTGATGAGGTAAGAGTGTGGACATTGTATCGGAGCTTAACAGTATGATATGCAGAAGATATTTACCATGGGGGTCATTTCTTACCTTTTAGATATCCATGGCTGACATCTGCCTGGTTCCACAGGTCTACAATGCAGAGAGGTAAGGTCACAGTGAACAAGAATACATCAGCATGTTCTAGCATTTTGTACTTGAGTTACACTCTTGCACTTCACTATGAATGTTCAATAATAATAATAATAATAAATAATAATGATCAGTCCATTATCCAGGCCCTGCTGATCTTTAGACACCCTGTACAGAGAAGTATTAACTGTTTCTCTCGTCTCTACAGGTTCAAAGTGGATGTCGGGCAGTATCCAACTATCAAAAAGATAAATCAAACCTTAGTTGAGATTGAAGCTTTCAAAGTGAGCCACCCATCTTGCCAACCTGACACACCTGCTGATATTCATGCATGAAACAGCTCAGCAGCTCTCACAGTGATGCAACTTTGTACCTTAAATAAAATGCTTTGGAAACAGTTTGTTTTAAGCAAGTAAACTGAGTTTAATGTTTATTAGCACTTTTAATATAAATTTTAACTTGATCCATTTTCTCAGTCTTTCATTTTACTGTCAAATACATGCGGATATGTGGGGAAGAGGTAAAGGACAAAGTGATGTGCAAAACATGCATATCAGGGATTTGTTATGCAAAATGCAACACCTGCCCACTGCTTGCCACATATTGCCTGCGTATGGAGGGTTAGTCAAGACTAAACTGCAGACTGTCATAAAAATTACAATGAAGAAACTGAAGCAATAACAAAACAGATCCACTACAAAAGATTAAATCTGCTGTCCTGTTTGGATTTCTTCCCTGATGAATCCATCATTTATCACCAGGAATCTCCACTGTGCATTTGACTGCGTCATTGTAGAAGGTGCCAGAGCAGTTTGACCCGCCGAACACCAGCAAAGTGCAATGGATGTCACCGTTTTCACCCTGTTCATGCTTCTCAGTGTCTGTTAGAATAGAGCAGCTCAAACTTATCATGCTGTGTCCTGCCCGAGGCTTGGAGGACAGCAGAGGACATGCCACTGAACTCCACATGTTGGTATCTGAGGAGAATTCCAGACAGAACAACCGCATGTATGTGACTCAAAAGAAACTTCTGTCTTAATGCCAAACAATTGTGGACTAAATTGGATCACAGTGATACAGTAGTATATGATTTGCCATCTATAATCACATGGAAGCGGCACAAATAAAGTACTCACCAGTGTTGAATACATGTACGTCCTGCAGGGCTCCAATTGTACTGCAACCTCCACCAACTAAAATCCTATTGTCTGAAACCGGGAGCGCTGCATGAAACCTGTCCATGTACAGGCAAGGAAGATTTTAACATACAATATGGGCCATTTCTGTTCTAAAGGCAGCCTTTACATATTTGAAAACCACTCATTTCTATTATTTCATTTATAGCAAAAAAAGAAAAATTAACAGTGCAGAAAGATGCCATCATCTTTTAGCGAGGATACAATAAACCTTTATTAAAATAGATCAAATTTAAATTCAGTTCTGGCTGAGAAACCACATGGCTACACTGATGACCTGTCAAGATTAATTAGTTCAGTACCCACCCTCGAGCCAGCGGTGGCATGTTCCCACACTTCACAGCTGTGTACTCCATGAATCCTTCCCTCATTTAAGGAAAACAATGATCAGTGGAAATCTGGACAGAAAATTATCCCTTGATGCCATCATTTAATCCTCATCATACCTAGATCTAAAACATGGAGATCGTTAAGGTAGGTTGCAGTCCTTCGGCCACCGAATATTAACAACCTCTGTGAGAGAAGCGTGGCTGTGTGTCTGTGCAGTACAAGCATAACGTTATTCCTGAAGGAAATTTAGGACAGTAAGTTTACTGGAGCTGCTTTTGAAAGGAACACTAACCCAAACCTGGGCAGAGGCCTGTCCCCGTCCACAATAGGCTGGTACCACAGTTCAAACTCTGGGTTGAAGATGTACAGAGAATTACTACAGGATTTCTCCCCAGAAGAATGGCTCGGCCGAACTCCGCCGAAAACAAAAAGCTCTTTCTTATAAAAGGTTGCAGAGTGGTATGCCAGAGTTGGAATGTTCCCTTTTGTCTACAACAGGGTAAATCCACAAAAAAAAAAAAAAGTTTCCTACATCTCTGAGTATTTGATAAGAAATACAACAGATTTACAACAAACCCACAGTGACAAGTTTCCACTTCCAGGTCAGAGTACTGAGGATATAGAGCTCACTGTAGCACTGCCTCTCCCTCAGGCCACCATAAACAAAGACTGCCTTAGAGTCTGGGTCATAGGTAGCAGAGTGTCCTTGGGCGCATGGTGGTACAGGTCCAGAAGCAGAGGAGCTCATGGGGGACCATATTTCATTGTCTGGGAAGAGTTCAGGTAAGCAAATGTTAAAATGCACTTCAAAATAAGTATTTCACATGATCTTCAGAGCTGTACACATTTGTTGTTTTATGGACATAGACCAATTAATGTCCAATTAATGTTTGCATGGCCACTGACCTAACTCGAGCTTCCACAGGGAGTCCTTGCAGTAGTTCTGATCTGCAGTCTGCCCTCCAATGAGGATGGCAGTGCCAGGGTCACTTAGACACATCGTGTGGTTCCATCTCATTGTTGGGCTCACTAAAACTAATCAAGGCGAGACTGCTGTCAAAACCCATGTTGTGTCTTCAAATGAGACCACAATGGTTGTAATGCTTTTGTTCCTGACCTTCTCTGTTCTCAGTCTTTATCTGCTCACTTGTTTCTTTTTCGCTGTTCATTGTGGACAGCCTCCTTCTCTTGGGGGTTGAAACCTGGTCTATGTCATCAGCGAGGCTGTCCATGTCCTCTGCTCTCCGTGTCAGCTGGCCTCTCTTGCCAATGACTGCATGTCTAGGAGTCTCATCCTTTTAGCAGTACAGAGCACATAAAAGAATGCATTAATTTACCTCAACATGCAGACACGTATACATTCTCAAGCATGACTCTTTACCTTAGGCCAGGCTTGGGCTTTATCTCCCACTCTGAAATCACTGGTGTCTATTTTATTCACTTGGATTTCAGCATAGCAAACACTGTCGCCCAGGTGTGAGATGTTGGGAGTTATCTGCAAGGACTTAAATGAACAATTACAAGACATCAGAACAAAGTGAGGACTGCTAGAGCACAAATTTAACCCTTAATCTCACCATTTCATTTTCAGTACTTTGGTGTAACGTGCTGGAGAGATCCGTTTCTTCGTGCTGTTCTGGGAACAGACATTTTCTTTTAACCAGAGGAGTACTGCTGAGGACACTGGTTTTATTCTCTGGCTGAGCACAGGAAGTAATTGCACAAAACAAACAGTGATTACTACTTTAATATGGATAGTTATGAGACACAGTAAAGATTTAGAATATTTAAGAGCATTTTCCTTATTAACAGGGGTCAGGTAACTTATTTACTTCACACATTGTGAGCACAATCTTGCCATAGACTCCTTTCCTGCCCCTCTCCGCTGCCCCTGTGATAATATCACCGCTCCATTCACCCTCCCAGGTCAGGCACCTGCATTCAAAGACAAGCTCACCAATTTACACTTAAGTTTGATTTGTGGAAAGTAGTTAGGGACTTTCCTCCACATACCTGGCTTGAGATGTCAGAGTCCCAATTTTCTGGGCCGGCACCTCTGCACTGACCAGCACCTCGACTGAGATTGTTGTCTTGCTGCATTTCCACTCTCCAAGACCAAAGATGACCAGCTGTTTAGGAAGAGGCAGCGGGATGTGGACTTGGAAGCACCTTCGGTTAGATTTGCTGCGGAGCGTAAGAGTCGGTCAACGTGTTTGAATGGGCGTGAAAAGAGTTGTGCGCGGGTTTTCGAGAACGCATACCTGATGAACTGACGGGGAGCGTCACGCATGGACCAAAGAACGTAAAAATGCATGCCCCCCATGGTGCTGCAGAATCAGAGTTGACTCGTCCAGACAAAAAAAAAAACTCTGCTGCTGTTCATAATAGGCACAACCCGGAACTCCAGTAGAGGCCCCTGATTGGCTGAGTCGATCTCGAGACCTCAGTAAACGCACCTGTGACGCAGTACAATTAATTTCAGTTTTAGGTATGGTGAGTCTGGATTTCTGGAGATGTTCGTCTTTATGAAAATATTTCAACATACATTAAGAACATTATCAACATGTTTTTATGGTGAAAAGGTCTGGCCCTGTATTGTGCTTTTTTTCATTGCTCTGCGTTTTCCAATAACTAATTTGACTGTCAAGTAGCCCCAGTTTGATTTGTCTATCAACAAATCATGAATTTAAAAAACAATCTAACCATGTTTTGTAACTCATAAAGCCACAAAACATATCAATTTTCCAATTACTTTGAAATTGTATTGTGTAATGCATATCTGGTGGTGACACAGCTGTCTCCATAGAGGTCCCTGCCATCTTTCTCCACATTTTCCCTTCCTGCCTCATGTTCACTTGTTTGTTAAATGTCTATAAAACAAACATTATTTGGATTGTGTGACAAAAGCATCAAATATGTTACAGGTTATTCATTAAATGCATAATTAAAAGTCCAACTTTAACAAACCACTGCGTGTGATGTACACTGACTGGCCACTTTATTAGGTACACCTGTACAATTACATGTACTTCAATGCAACACTTTTGCCTTAACATTTGTGTTTAGGAAGCTCAACCTGTTCCATTTTTTTGGTAAAATTTTCATAAAAGTATAAATTCAGTTATCTGTTTATTGAGGTCATGGTGTTGCACTGGACTACATTTAGAAGTGTCTCTATATTTTTGTCCTCCCAACCTACATACATGACAGGGTCAGAATATTAGAAACACCTCTGAATAGTACACCACCACCTTTAACTATGACCTCAATAATAAATGTATAATTTATGGAAATACAAGTATACATTGTGGCAGTAAAACAATCTTAAACCAATGACAAAGAAGCAGGAACCTAATGTTAAAGAATATATTTAATAACCACATATTTATACTTAAGGAAAATATACCAGATGTTAACAAGAAATGATTAGTTTCATGATTCATGCTTGTTTCTAACAAACACTACCAGATTTTTGAAGGTAGCTTGGAGACTTTCTATAGAGGTCAGTAATGTTACACATGGCCAAAGAAGTGGAATGAGCCCACAGCCGCTTACATTTAAAAATGTTTAGTGCAGTAAATCCAACTTTATGTATTACTGCTACGACTTCACCAGATGTTACATGTAAGTTAGCACAGGATACTGAATGTTATGTTTGTTCTCATGAAAGCAAAACTAACATGCTGGATTTTTGTTTGGTCACTTTCTATCAGCAAAAGAAATAAGGAACTTAAAGTGAAACAATGTGCGCTGTCCTTGGTGCTGAAGAGAAGAATCTTGAACTACTTTTGACTCAGAATCTAACCCTGCCCATCTTCCACCAATAACAAACAGTCTGCAGAAACATGCTTCAGCTTCATATCTGTAGTTTTCACAACCCATTTATTTCAGTTACAGTTTTTTATGAATTAGCCCTTGTGTGTGGTTACACTGCCAGTGTTCGTGGGTCACCGGTGACCCACAGAGGTTTTTGGCTTTCTAATTCACCACAATCAAACTGTTTTATGTTAAAATACTCAACAGATGTTTACATTTGCCCTTTACCTTTGTTAGATTACATTTATGAATTAATGTGGTACTCCTGGTGGTGCATCTTTTTGCTGCCATGGTGCACAGCCTAGAACAATGGAAAGATCATGAATTTCAGTTTGAAAATAACACCGTTCTCTCTAGCAAAGCATGAGTGTCACAAAAATACTTGGGCTCTGCAGATGGCTCAATTTCTTCTTCTTCTCCGAGACTGAGTTTTCAGAAATGTGATCCTCACAATCTGAGGCTGCTTCTTCTACAACATGGCCCACAGCTTCAGTGTCTTTGAAAATAAATTTCAAGGCGCTCTCAACAGACATACGTTTGGCCATCTTGCTCAGCTGTGATATCAGTTGTGCTAAGAACCACACTGGAAATGTTATTTTTATTGTGTCTGTCCAGTGGGTGTTGCACCCACAAGGCAGAGGATACAATGGGCAGGGATGTGTGGAATGTGTAGGGTGTGGCGTGGAGGGTCTGCAATATGTCAGTACTTGTCTTTTGCAAAACAAAAGCACCTGTATTTTGAAAAACAAATGTAAAAATACAGCTTTACATAATTACTTGTATCTTTGTCCTAAATTAACTGTTTCCATCTTCAGCAGTGGTGTTTACTTTGGTGTTTTTTGTCATGATAGTAAAACTGAATAGGACTGTTTGGTTGGATAAAACAGTCTTGAGAAGATCTCAATAGTGGGACTATTGGTGTGTAGAGGCTTCATCAAATTATTAAAATAGACTCTGGAGGCAAAACTGTAGGATTATTCTAAATAAAATCAGCCTATATAAATATTACCTTAGCAGTTTGACTGATAGTTTCTCCTGATTTCCCAGCAGTGTGCATTAGAGGGCGCTAGGGCATAAGCACATAGTCATGTTTCTATTCTGTTTAAATGTTTTAACCTAAGCTTGTCATCTATTATAAAGCAGCAACCAATTATGTTCATTATCAATTAGCATGCCAGTTATTTTCTTAATGAATAGATTAACTGTGATCCACATAATGTCTATTTTGTGACGATCAGCAGTCCTGAACTGAAAGACATTTGCCATTGTTTAGTTTATAATGAAAGTCTAAGAAAACCAGCAAATATTAACACAGCTGAAACTAGATTTTCTTGGCATTTTTGCCTATAAAATGAATTAATTACTCAACAGAGCAGTTAAGTTTTCTGTCTTTCAGTCCCCCCCAACTCCTCATATACATCTTACTTTGGGTAAAGTACAGGGATGATGCCAACAGAAGCTACCTTTTGAAGGTAACTTTATTTGGTTTCAAAGCTAGAGATTAATGCAACAGACACAAACTGACAGCACAAGGATACAAAATGACCACAAAGAGATGCAAAGCAAACATAAAAAAAGACACAAAAGATCCCTTAATCTCATGTCTTCTCTCTTTCTTTATCTTTTTATTACTTGTATACAAATGGTGTCCTCAAGTCACCATAATAAATTTGTGGTTTGCATTAACTGGGTTCCTGAGGTGGTGCAGGTGCACAAGAACAGCTGGTAGGGTGAGTCACATTCCCACCAGCTCACAGCTGAATAAATACAGCCTATTTAGATTAATGTAAGAAATGGTAGGAATCCAGCCCTTTACCATCTATTAAAGAAATTTACTAAACAAATGAATGAGCAAACTTATTGATCTTTATTTCAGTCCAATTCAGGCTCTTTACCTGTTGCTGGATTAAAATGGTGGCTCTGCTCTTTGTTTACCCACTGCCACAATGAATCTTAGTATCAAAGCTCCATTGATTATGGCTTTTTATAGTCATCATGCACAAGCTCACCTCTGAGTTAACTAAACTCAGGCAGTGAAAAGATGGTTTAATGATGTCTAAAAACACTGGAGAGCAATAGGAACACTGGAAAGGATTTCAAATCAATCTGAGCACAACAATTCTTGAATGTTTTTATTTCTTCAATAAGTAAGGCTGCACAAAAATTGGTTTTAATAATATTAAGACAGTATATATTAAGTATGCTTTTCTTTATATGCATACATGAAGCCACATAAGGGAAAGCACAATTAAATCTTGAGTTGAATACCACTGTAGTATCTTCTGCACTGGCCGTCAGCGTACATACAATAGCAACACCTGTCCTTTCTGAGACCTAAACAAAAACTTAACAGGGCCCTACAGCAAACAGGGATGCATAACACCATACTCCAACCACCAGGAGGTGGGCATGTGACAAGTAGAACTTGGTTCTCAGGCCTTTTCTTTTTGGATGTTCAGACTTAGTGTCACAGCCTTTGGTCCGCTGGAGTGTGAAGTCCTTTTAGTGACTTAATGAAGATGACAGGAGACAGGAAATGAACAGAACCAGAGGAAATGATGAGAGGTCAAACTCCTTAAAGTAACACTAGAGTGGCACTGAGGGAGAGAGAAGAGCGCTCAGCTCTTTTTCCAGCATCTCTGTACAAACCTTGACCCACTTGCACCTCAGCTTGTATTTTGCTTTGACAGTGGAACAACAAAACATTTCTTTTATTATCTGTTTAAATTAATCCCCTGCCAAATATAGGAGCTTGTTAAAACACAAATGTGTGATTTTAGTGGGGCACAGCAGGTCAATACTGGGGCATGTGCCCTGGTAAAAGAGGTCTAACGATGCCTATGATTCTGACTGTCCTTTGAGGAGACCTGAAAATAAAACCTGGTTTCATCAGTACCTCGACAATTACATCAATCCCCTAATGTCATTCTTTAATGGAAACACAAGGGACGATCCTGTAGCGCTTTCTAATTCTGGATCTGCAGTGAGACTGTTATGAAACGGGAGACAGCAATCTTCAAGATAAATATTTTTTACGTTAATCACAGTGAATACGTTGTTCAGAGTCTTTTTAAGGGTTGATCGAATCCTCAAATGAATCTCCAAGAAAACTAGACAATCTTCTCTTTATTTTGGAATATAAATTTCAGAAACAAATTAACATAACTTACAGTAAATAGTACAGCAAATGTGTGAAGCCTTAAACCAGCCACTTTACATTGTACACGGCATTAGAACCAAATCTGTGCCAGCACTTTGGAAACATGCACATATGTGAATGTGATAGAAGCATCAATTTTAGAAACATGAAGGTACAAAAGTTTTCAACACAATCAAATTCAAAGTGTGCCCGTGGCACTGAGGATACTCAAAAACAAACACAGTGACCTTCAGTTACATAAACCTGTGCACAAAATATATTTAGATGAAATGGTATAACTCCTCTCTACCTCTGACACTGTTAAAAAAAGAAGGGCACAGCAAACGTATACATTGAATCGATATTACATAACACGTGATAAGGGATGGCTTTTATTTATGTCATAAAAAGTGCACTCTGTGAAACTGTTACTTTTTTTTTCAGCACATTCAACTTACATCTGTTACCAACACACACTGTGACTGTAGACACGTCTTTCTACAGTTTGTCTTCTATACCTCTATCATGACTGGAGTCAACATAGATTAAAATAGAATTATGCTATGAGGCAGAGGGGTAAAAACAAGTAACAACAACAAAGCAGTGGAACAAGGTGTACGCACGCAACAGAAAAAAAAAAACAACTGCCGATTAAGTACCTGGCATGGTGAATAAACTCTGCACAGGTGTTCCCTGATCACATAGAAATGTTACAGCTGAAGACCATATGTGTTTTATGATGGGCACTTTACCCAACAGCACAGTGCTCACATGGGAACATGGCACATATCCAAGGCTTCTTCAAATATCTATTAGCAAGACACCAGAGCAAATGTTGCATTCAAAATTGTCTGGTAATTAAATATGAGGCGCCACAAGCTGATAGTGATAAAAAATAGATATGCCTGTATATAACCTTTTATATTATGACTTCATCTTTTGCCAAGTGTGGGATCAAAAATAGTTGATCATTCTTAGGAATAATATTATTATTCATAAACAACAAACTGGCATCTCAGTCACTATAATAAACCCTGTAGTAAAGAGTTTTATTTCGCCATAGTGAGTAGGAGTTGTCAAATTTCAGCAGGTAAGTGCCGTCACCTGGAAAATCGTGGCTCCCCCCATGGACCAACAAGTGACTGTCCTGGCGATATACAGGTAAGACTTCAGCTAAGTTGGACTTGGTGGTTTGAATCTTGGAGCCCTTTTCAACGTCCCCATTGGTAGCAGGTGCTGCAACACGAATCACATAAACCACAAAGTCAACACAATGGTCAGATCAGTGCTGCTGTTGTGAAACACATACAAACATAATTGTGGTCTGTTTTATAGATACAGAGTGACTGACATGTTTCCAGACATCACTCAGTAAAAGGTTTAAAACAAGTCTACGTCAGCGTGAGCTAGGTTTAGGTCAGTCTAATTTATAATTTACTAAACATTAACTGACCTGCTAGGTCCTCCTCTTCATCTTCATCATCACTTGACTCACTGATGTGCACTGTGATAGATCGGTTTGTGACAGGAGTCCAGTCAAAATATATGCCAAAGCCGATGTCATAACCATCTGTAGCAAACTCCCAGCACACTTTTTTGGCCTCGGGCACAGTGGGCACGTTAACTGTCATGATGTCGCCTCGGTACACTGTCACCACACTGTCCTTCTCCGGTCGAAGTTTTTCCTTCAGCTCCTTCAGTGCAACAGATGTCCATGTTGCTGGGGGCATCAGGGGCGGCATCTGGGCTGCATATCAGGAAGAGCACACAGCGGTGTGTCCACAAACATCACAGCAACTTTGATAGTTATCAAGCTTAAATAAACCCTCTAGAATTTTTGATTTGTCTTATTATAGCTTCCATTACACCATTTGTACCAGATGTATTAAATCTCTAAATCCAAATCACAGGTGTAACAAAGGACAACACACTCAGCTAGCCCTCACCTTTCTTTTCACAGCTTGCAGCACTGTTGTTCTCCTCAGCCCCTTCCCCAGGGGCTGGCTCAGAAGGGGCTTCTTCATTACCCTCAAAGTGCACACACACCAGACATATTGTTACAGAGATATTGCATTAGATTGTACTGTTTATTGCCATGCAGTAACAGCTTATCTACCTCTGAGTGATGCTCTGAGTCCTCCTTGGTTTCATCCATATTAGTTTTGGACTGGGTAAAGCTCTGTGAAAGATCCGTGTTCTGGAGCCTAAAGACGACAAAACAGCAGCAAAAAATAAATTACAATAGTTTTATGGCGATCCCATTAGGCTGCAATAAGCATAACTAGCGGTACGTATCAGTCCTTAAATACTTTCTGCAGCAACAGGTTACCTGTCCGTCGGTCTACTGTCGCACTGTTCGGATGGTATTCCAGGGAAAGGGGAAAAGGAGAGGG